GTGGAGCTAAACTGCTGTAACTGAATGTGTGGAGCTAAACTGCTGTAACTGAATGGTGGAGCTAAACTGCTGTAGCTGAATGGTGGAGCTAAACTGCTGTAACTGAATGGTGGAGCTAAACTGCTGTAGCTGAATGGTGGGGCTAAACTGCTGTAGCTGAATGGTGGAGCTAAACTGCTGTAACTGAATGGTGGAGCTAAACTGCTGTAGCTGAATGGTGGGGCTAAACTGCTGTAGCTGAATGGTGGAGCTAAACTGCTGTAACTGAATGGTGGAGCTAAACTGCTGTAGCTGAATGGGTGGGGCTAAACTGCTGTAGACTGAATGGTGGGGCTAAACTGCTGTAGACTGAATGGTGGAGCTAAACTGCTGTAGCTGAATGGTGGAGCTAAACTGCTGTAACTGAATGGTGGAGCTAAACTGCTGTAGCTGAATGGGTGGAGCTAAACTGCTGTATCTGAATGGTGGAGCTAAACTGCTGTAACTGAATGGTGGAGCTAAACTGCTGTAGCTGAATGGTGGAGCTAAACTGCTGTAGCTGAATGGGTGGAGCTAAACTGCTGTAGCTGAATGGGTGGAGCTAAACTGCTGTAGCTGAATGGGCGGGGCTAAACTGATATAGGCTGAAAAGGGCGTGCACTTAAATGTGTTGGGTTTTGTGACATCAAAAAATCAATACATTGAGATCAGCATGACTTTTGTGGTTATAGATATGGACGGTGTGCACTGGAGACTGGATGACACGTTTAAAACTTTAACAATATTTGAAAACTACATCAATATATTTAATTTTGACTGTTAATTTTATGTGATATGAGCCCTTTAATGTTAATATAAATCTCATATAGCGATTCAGGAAGCTTTGAACACGCTCAGGTTCTCAGGTAGAATGAATGCTTGTAGGAGGTGCCCGTAATTGGAAGTTCTTTCAGCTTAGGAAAGATTTTTCTTCATTGCTTTCTTTAAAGAACCGTCCACCAAAATGTTCTAGGGAACCAAAAGTGGTTCTTCTATGGCACTGCTCCAAAGAACCCTTTCTAGGGTCTTTTATTTTGAAGAATTACACATGATGTACAAATATATAAACATATATTTATTGAAGAGAAAAATAAAAACATCTCAAAATGAATCATAACTGATTATGAATATGACAGTGTGTAACTGATCTGTTACTAAAATAATGCAGATATTTCTGTTCTAATGGAGGAAAAACAAAAATACAGTATTTAAATAGTTTAATCAGAACATGCTCTCTCTCTCTGTCTCTCTCTCTCTCTCTCTCTGTCTCTCTCTCTCTCTCTGTCTCTCTCTCTCTGTGTCTCTCTCTCTCTCTCTCTCTGTCTCTCTCTCTCTCTCTCTCTCTCTCTCTCTCATCCAGTGTAGCTTTAAAAACACCACACTACTTTAAACAGACTTCTGGTGAATGAATAGCAGCAAGAGGGGGTGTCTCTGCAGGGGTAGTTTAGGAGGGTAAGTTGTGGGAGTAGTTTAGGACGGTGGGGTGTGGGGTGAGTTTTGGGGGGTATTGTGTGGCTGTAGTTTTGGGGGTATGCTGTGGGGGTAGTTTAGGGGTGGATGGTGGAGTAGTTTTGGGGGGCTAGTTCTGGGGGGGTAGTGTTAAGGGTATGACGTGGTAGTTTTGGGGGTAGTTTTGGGGGTAGTTTTGGGGGTAGGGTAGTTTAAGTGGGAACCCTTTTTAAATGTGTGTTCCTGTAAAGCTGCTGGCAGCAGCAGTAAGAACAGTGAAAGGGTCAGTAAGTATAGTGAAAGGGTCAGTATGTACAGTGAGAGTGTCAGTAAGAACAGTGAGAGGGTCAATAAGAACATTGATAGGGTCAGTAAGAACATTGAGAGGGTCAGTAAGAACATTGAGAGGGTCAGTTAGTACAGTGAGAGTGTCAGTAAGAACAATGAGAGGGTCAGTAAGAACATTGAGAGGGTCAGTAAGAACATTGAGAGGGTCAGTTAGTACAGTGAGAGTGTCAGTAAGAACAATGAGAGGGTCAGTAAGAACATTGAGAGGGTCAGTTAGTACAGTGAGAGTGTCAGTAAGAACAATGAGAGGGTCAGTAAGAACATTGAGAGGGTCAGTTAGTACAGTGAGAGTGTCAGTAAGAACAATGAGAGGGTCAGTAAGAACATTGAGAGGGTCAGTAAGAACATTGAGAGGGTCAGTTAGTACAGTGAGAGTGTCAGTAAGAACAGAGAGAGGGTCAGTAAGTACAGTGAGAGTGTCAGTAAGAACAGAGAGAGGGTCAGTAAGTACAGTGAGAGTGTCAGTAAGAACAGTGAAAGGGTCAGTAAGTACAGTGAGAGGGTCAGTAAGAACAGTGAGAGGGTCAGTAAGTACAGTGAGAGGGTCAGTAAGAACAGTGAGAGGGTCAGTAAGAACAGTGAGAGGGTCAGTAAGAACATTGAGAGGGTCAGTAAGAACAGTGAGAGGGTCAGTAAGTACAGTGAGAGTGTCAGTAAGAACAGAGAGAGGGTCAGTAAGTACAGTGAGAGTGTCAGTAAGAACAGTGAGAGTGTCAGTAAGAACAATGAGAGGGTCAGTAAGAACAGTGAGAGGGTCAGTAAGTACAGTGAGAGTGTCAGTAAGAACAGTGAGAAGGTCAGTAAGTACAGTGAGAGGGTCAGTATGTACAGTGAGAGTGTCAGTAAGAACAGTGAGAGGGTCAGTAAGAACAGTGAGAGGGTCAGTAAGAACATTGAGAGGGTCAGTAAGAACAGTGAGAGGGTCAGTAAGTACAGTGAGAGTGTCAGTAAGAACAGAGAGAGGGTCAGTAAGTACAGTGAGAGTGTCAGTAAGAACAGTGAAAGGGTCAGTAAGTACAGTGAGAGGGTCAGTAAGAACATTGAGAGGGTCAGTTAGTACAGTGAGAGTGTCAGTAAGAACAATGAGAGGGTCAGTAAGTACAGTGAGAGGGTCAGTAAGAACATTGAGAGGGTCAGTTAGTACAGTGAGAGTGTCAGTAAGAACAATGAGAGGGTCAGTAAGAACATTGAGAGGGTCAGTTAGTACAGTGAGAGTGTCAGTAAGAACAATGAGAGGGTCAGTAAGAACATTGAGAGGGTCAGTTAGTACAGTGAGAGTGTCAGTAAGAACAATGAGAGGGTCAGTAAGAACATTGAGAGGGTCAGTAAGAACATTGAGAGGGTCAGTTAGTACAGTGAGAGTGTCAGTAAGAACAGTGAGAAGGTCAGTAAGTACAGTGAGAGGGTCAGTATGTACAGTGAGAGTGCGTAAACAGTGAAGGGTCAGTAAGAACAGTGAGAGGGTCAGTAAGAACATTGAGAGGGTCAGTAAGAACAGTGAGAGGGTCAGTAAGTACAGTGAGAGTGTCAGTAAGAACAGAGAGAGGGTCAGTAAGTACAGTGAGAGTGTCAGTAAGAACAGTGAAAGGGTCAGTAAGTACAGTGAGAGGGTCAGTAAGAACAGTGAGAGGGTCAGTAAGTACAGTGAGAGGGTCAGTAAGAACAGTGAGAGGGTCAGTTAGTACAGTGAGAGGGTCAGTTAGTACAGTGAGAGGGTCAGTAAGAACAGTGAGATGGTCAGTAAGTACAGTGAGAGGGTCAGTAAGTACAGTGAGAGGGTCAGTAAAAACAGTGAGAGGGTCAGTAAGTACAGTGAGAGGGTCAGTAAGAACAGTAATGGGTCTGACTATGAACTCCGTCTGAACAGGAAACACTTCCACTCTGTAGCGATTCAGATTTTTCAGCTTTATCGTTTGTCTTTCAGACTCTCAGAGCACAGAAACACCTTCAACCCCAAAGTAATAAACAGTAAATAAAGTAAGTTTGGACTAAATTACAGTATTAAATCTTTATGGGCTGATAAAGTTACACTGTGCTTAAACTCATGATTAACCCGCCTGTTCAGTTCACAGCTCATCTGATTTACAGTTTAAACAGGATTTATGGTTATTAGCTGTTTGCTATGCTGTTTGTATATGATGCAAAATCTGTTATCATCAATGATGAAGATAAAGTAAAAATATGTGCTGCAGAAGTTTTAGGCACCTGAGAAAGAATCAAACAGCTGTTTATCTAGTACATACAGCTGTTTATCTAGTACGTGTCATTAATATAGTAAGCAGTGGTTTGTGTGTGTCAGTGTGTTAGTTTAACTGTTTCCTCCACGAAGATCAGCATTAATACTTATAATCCAATACCTGATTCATCTAATCAATACCTCATAAATCAGGAGCTGCTGATGGAATTGAATAAGTCCATCTGATGCTGGAGGAGGAACCAGACTTTTTTCTTCAAACCAGCTAAGATTTGTTTTTATTTTTGTTTGTTTGTATTTATTCTGATGACATTTGGTGAGTTTTACAAGCAAAAACACACGAATTACGCAGATCAGCAGTGCCTAAAACCTTTGCACAGTGCTGTGTGTGTGTGTGAGTGTGTGTGTGTGTGAGTGTGTGTGAGTGTGTGTGTGTGTGTGTGTGTGAGTGGTGTGTGTGAGTGTGAGTGTGTGTGAGTGTGTGTGTGTATACAGTCTTATGCAGAAGTTTGTACACCCCTGTTCTGTGTTGATAAGTTATTTCTCCTCTACTCACTCAAATGTGTCATTTCTCTGCTCATTTTTCTGCACAATCCCTGTTTACTTTCTGAGTTTAACACTTTGGGAAAAAGCAAAAACAAAAATATACAATGTACAGAATGCACAACATGGAAGTTGACCAGGGGTGCACAAACTGTGTATAAATCTGTATACAGTCATCAGAGTGAATAAGTGAACACACTCCTCTACTGAGACACACTTTAATGCACAATTACTGTGTATTTACTGAATTTAGTACATTGGAAATAAAGCATAAGATGTGGTCTGTGTGAAATTCATGGCACATTTGATTTTTTAAATGTATTTTTCTGATGTGTTAAACTCAGATAAAGAGAAATTGTGCACTAATTTGAGTGTGTTCTCTGTGAAGGCTGTGTTTTTTATACATGTCTTTTTCACATTCTGTCTTGCAAATTTGTGGAAGGTTTTGTTTTGTAAAACATGATGTAAGAACAAAATCTGCACTGATAAACGTCTCATGAAGTGAACAGAACACAGGGGTTAATTAGTGATGAGTTCTGAGTGAGGGTGGTCCTGTTAAAGCCCCTCTGACCGCTCCGCTCCCCACTCTGTGCACATTTGCTCACAATAAATAAGAAAGGCTTCATATAGATTCTGTACATTCTCACTGAACACAACAGTCTTATAATGATAATGTGTTATCAATAATAACACATTATTAATAATAATAATAATAGTGATGATGATGGTGATGATGAGGCCTCAGCAGCGCGGGTAGCCCATGCGGCAGTAGCAGACGGTCCTGAGCAGGCGGCAGGAGCAGAAGGCGCAGTGTTCACAGCACACAGAGTTGGGGCTCTTGCAGCTCCCCCACAGCGGCGTGCAGTTCGGGGGGGGCGGCGGCCTCTTCACTTGGCCCGCCAGCTTAGTCTGCAACGACACACACGAGAGCCTTCTGAGTTCAGAGCGCGAGAGCGGCTCCCTGCGCGAGAGCTCCTGACCTGAACTGGACTCATTCAGTGAAAACTAAGCGCATTACACGTTCATAAACAGCGTATTGACTGTACAGGAAGAACCTGTATAACACAGGTCTGTTCTGTGAAATGCTTTATGACACTGTTGTGGGAACAAAACCTCGTATCTCCAAAATGGTAACTTTACAGGAGAAGGAAAAACATACTTTACTTTTAATGTAAGTCAATGGAACCAGATTTTTTTCCAAGTCATTTTTGGTCGTTTCTTTTGGTCCATTCATCATGAAATTTACACACAATGTAAAGAGAAACAGGCATTTTCAAACATGATGACAGGAATGACAGAAATGGAGATATGAGGTTTTGTTCTGACAGCAGCGATTAGTAACAGCTGTGTATCGATGGTGCACAATGAACACGCGCATAAGACCTTTTATTCAAAATATTCAGCATGAATTAATCACCTTAATTTATATTATTAATGTATCATCGGCTCTTTAGACTGAAAACACCAAACAAGAGTATGTTTTCGTCTCAGGTTCTAAAGTAAAGATCATTTTTGTAACCAAAACATGCACCATCAGAATATTTAAAGTTGCTATTTCTTGTAGTCAAAATATCATAAATAAGTGCTAAATTTGTGATGCACAACTTTTTTATTCTCTAATTAGAGATGACAAGAAGCACACTTTAGAATGTGGAACAACTCGTTAGACTCTTATTACTTCTTAAGTAATAAACTTGACACTATCTAGAACCTAGACATCAAATGCTGGCAGTTATAACCTATTTAAGTGATTCATTTATGCCCAATAATTTGCATAACAAGATGTAAAAAGTTCTTATTGTGCACAATCAAAGCATAATTACTACTAATTTAGTCATTATTGGTGATTTTCACATTACAGACCTGTAATTATGCTCTGATAAATCAGTCAGAAGTGTCTAGTTTGGAGTAAATATTATTCAAGATAAGAGTAGATTATATACAGACCGATGGACAGTAACACTGTATTCATTATGGGTTCATTAAATCCAGCTGGTCACAAAGAAATTTCAGAGTGGTGTCCATGCTGTGGAATTTACTGTGCAGCTCTGACTGCTTGAATATGGTGAATAGTATAAATTGTATAGTATAGAGTATATAATACAGTATAGAGTATATAATACAGTATAGCGTATATAATACAGCATTTCTACAGTAAATACACTTCACATCCTCCACCTGCTGCCTGATACACAGTAAAGCCTGTACAGTTTCAGACCCAGATTAAGCCTAACCCTAGACTAAAAACATTTCCAAAGCCAATTTGCCTTTAGTCACGCAATGTAGCCCAAGACTGGACTTATGTTGGTATGTAGTTTATGTGCTGTTTGTGTGTTGGTATGTAGTTTGTGTGCAGTTTGTGTGCTGTTTGTGTGTTGGTATGTAGTTTGTGTGCAGTTTGTGTGTTGGTATGTAGTTTGTGTGTGGTTTGTGTGTTGGTTTGTTGTTTGTGTGCGGTTTGTCTGCAGTTTGTGTGTTGGTATGTAGTTTGTGTGCAGTTTGTGTGTTGGTATGTAGTTTGTGTGCGGTTTGTGTGCTGTTTGTGTGTTGGTATGTAGTTTGTGTTCAGTTTGTGTGTTGGTATGTAGTTTGTGTTCAGTTTATGTGCTGTTTGTGTGTTGGTATGTAGTTTGTGTTCAGTTTGTGTGTTGGTATGTAGTTTGTGTTCAGTTTATGTGTTGGTTTGTTGTTTGTGTGCGGTTTGTCTGCAGTTTGTGTGTTGATATGTAGTTTGTGTGCAGTTTGTGTGCTGTTTGTGTGTTGGTATGTAGTTTGTGTTCAGTTTGTGTGTTGGTATGTAGTTTGTGTTCAGTTTATGTGTTGGTTTGTTGTTTGTGTGCGGTTTGTCTGCAGTTTGTGTGTTGATATGTAGTTTGTGTGCAGTTTGTGTGCTGTTTGTGTGTTGGTATGTAGTTTGTGTTCAGTTTGTGTGTTGGTTTGTAGTTTGTGTTCAGTTTGTGTGCTGTTTGTGTGTTGGTATGTAGTTTGTGTTCAGTTTGTGTGTTGGTATGTAGTTTGTGTTCAGTTTGTGTGCTGTTTGTGTGTTGGTATGTAGTTTGTGTTCAGTTTGTGTGTTGGTATTTAGTTTGTGTGCGGTTTGTGTGCTGTTTGTGTGTTGGTATGTAGTTTGTGTTCAGTTTGTGTGCTGTTTGTGTGTTGGTATGTAGTTTGTGTTCAGTTTGTGTGTTGGTATGTAGTTTGTGTGCAGTTTGTGTGCTGTTTGTGTGTTGGTATGTAGTTTGTGTGCGGTTTGTGTGTTGGTTTGTAGTTTGTGTTCAGTTTGTGTGCTGTTTGTGTGTTGGTATGTAGTTTGTGTTCAGTTTGTGTGTTGGTATGTAGTTTGTGTTCAGTTTGTCTGCAGTTTGTGTGTTGATATGTAGTTTGTGTGCAGTTTGTGTGTTGGTATGTAGTTTGTGTTCAGTTTGTGTGTTGGTATGTAGTTTGTGTTCAGTTTGTGTGTTGGTATGTAGTTTGTGTGTGGTTTGTGTGCAGTTTGTGTGTTGGTATGTAGTTTGTGTGTGGTTTGTGTGCTGTTTGTGTGTTGGTATGTAGTTTGTGTTCAGTTTGTGTGTTGGTATGTAGTTTGTGTTCAGTTTGTGCACAGTTTGTGTGTTGGTATGTAGTTTGTGTGTGGTTTGTGTTCAGTTTGTGTGTTGGTATGTAGTTTGTGTTCAGTTTGTGTGCTGTTTGTGTGTTGGTATGTAGTTTGTGTGCGGTTTGTGTGCTGTTTGTGTGTTGGTATGTAGTTTGTGTGTGGTTTGTGTGCTGTTTGTGTGTTGGTATGTAGTTTGTGTTCAGTTTGTGTGCTGTTTGTGTGTTGGTATGTAGTTTGTGTGCGGTTTGTGTGTTGGTATGTAGTTTGTGTTCAGTTTGTGTTCAGTTTGTGTGCTGTTTGTGTGTTGGTATGTAGTTTGTGTGCTGTTTGTGTGTTGGTATGTAGTTTGTGTTCAGTTTGTGTGCGGTTTGTGTGTTGGTATGTAGTTTGTGTTCAGTTTGTGTGCTGTTTGTGTGTTGGTATTTAGTTTGTGTTCAGTTTGTGTGCTGTTTGTGTGTTGGTATTTAGTTTGTGTTCAGTTTGTGTGCTGTTTGTGTGTTGGTATTTAGTTTGTGTGCGGTTTGTGTGCTGTTTGTGTGTTGGTATTTAGTTTGTGTTCAGTTTGTGTGCTGTTTGTGTGTTGGTATTTAGTTTGTGTTCAGTTTGTGTGCTGTTTGTGTGTTGGTATGTAGTTTGTGTGCGGTTTGTGTGTTGGTATGTAGTTTGTGTTCAGTTTGTGTTCAGTTTGTGTGCTGTTTGTGTGTTGGTATGTAGTTTGTGTGCTGTTTGTGTGTTGGTATGTAGTTTGTGTTCAGTTTGTGTGCGGTTTGTGTGTTGGTATGTAGTTTGTGTTCAGTTTGTGTGCGGTTTGTGTGTTGGTATTTAGTTTGTGTTCAGTTTGTGTGCAGTTTGTGTTGGTATGTAGTTTGTGTGCAGTTTGTGTGTTGGTATGTAGTTTGTGTGTTGGTATGTAGTTTGTGTGCAGTTTGTGTGTTGGTATGTAGTTTGTGTGCAGTTTGTGTGTTTGTATGTAGTTTGTGTGCGGTTTGTCTGCAGTTTGTGTGTTGGTATGTAGTTTGTGTGCAGTTTGTGTGTTGGTATGTAGTTTGTGTGCAGTTTGTGTGTTGGTATGTAGTTTGTGTGCGGTTTGTGTGTTGGTTTGTTGTTTGTGTGCGGTTTGTCTGCAGTTTGTGTGTTGGTATGTAGTTTGTGTGCAGTTTGTGTTCAGTTTGTGTGTTGGTATGTAGTTTGTGTGCAGTTTGTGTGCAGTTTGTGTGTTGGTATGTTGTTTGTGTGCGGTTTGTGTGTTGGTTTGTTGTTTGTGTGCGGTTTGTGTGCAGTTTGTGTGTTGGTATGTAGTTTGTGTTCAGTTTGTGTGTTGGTTTGTAGTTTGTGTGCGGGTTGTGTGCTGTTTGTGTGTTGGTATGTAGTTTGTGTAAAGTTTGTGTGTTGGTATGTAGTTTGTGTGCAGTTCGTGTGTTGGTATGTAGTTTGTGTGTGGTTTGTGTGCAGTTTATGTGTTGGTATTTAGTTTGTGTGCGGTTTGTCTGCAGTTTGTGTGTTGGTATTTAGTTTGTGTGCGGTTTGTGTGCTGTTTGTGTGTTGGTATTTAGTTTGTGTGCGGTTTGTCTGCAGTTTGTGTGTTGGTATTTAGTTTGTGTGCGGTTTGTGTGCTGTTTGTGTGTTGGTACGTAGTTTGTGTTCAGTTTGTGTGTTGGTATGTAGTTTGTGTTCAGTTTGTGTGCGGTTTGTGTGTTGGTATTTAGTTTGTGTTCAGTTTGTGTGCAGTTTGTGTTGGTATGTAGTTTGTGTGCAGTTTGTGTGTTGGTATGTAGTTTGTGTGTTGGTATGTAGTTTGTGTGCAGTTTGTGTGTTGGTATGTAGTTTGTGTGCAGTTTGTGTGTTTGTATGTAGTTTGTGTGCGGTTTGTCTGCAGTTTGTGTGTTGGTATGTAGTTTGTGTGCAGTTTGTGTGTTGGTATGTAGTTTGTGTGCAGTTTGTGTGTTGGTATGTAGTTTGTGTGCGGTTTGTGTGTTGGTTTGTTGTTTGTGTGCGGTTTGTCTGCAGTTTGTGTGTTGGTATGTAGTTTGTGTGCAGTTTGTGTTCAGTTTGTGTGTTGGTATGTAGTTTGTGTGCAGTTTGTGTGCAGTTTGTGTGTTGGTATGTTGTTTGTGTGCGGTTTGTGTGTTGGTTTGTTGTTTGTGTGCGGTTTGTGTGCAGTTTGTGTGTTGGTATGTAGTTTGTGTTCAGTTTGTGTGTTGGTTTGTAGTTTGTGTGCGGGTTGTGTGCTGTTTGTGTGTTGGTATGTAGTTTGTGTAAAGTTTGTGTGTTGGTATGTAGTTTGTGTGCAGTTCGTGTGTTGGTATGTAGTTTGTGTGTGGTTTGTGTGCAGTTTATGTGTTGGTATTTAGTTTGTGTGCGGTTTGTCTGCAGTTTGTGTGTTGGTATTTAGTTTGTGTGCGGTTTGTGTGCTGTTTGTGTGTTGGTACGTAGTTTGTGTTCAGTTTGTGTGTTGGTATGTAGTTTGTGTTCAGTTTGTGTGCAGTTTGTGTGTTGGTATTTAGTTTGTGTGCGGTTTGTCTGCAGTTTGTGTGTTGGTATTTAGTTTGTGTGCGGTTTGTGTGTTGGTATGTAGTTTGTGTTCAGTTTGTGTGTTGGTATGTAGTTTGTGTTCAGTTTGTGTGCTGTTTGTGTGTTGGTATGTAGTTTGTGTGCGGTTTGTGTGCTGTTAGTGTGTTGGTATGTAGTTTGTGTTCAGTTTGTGCATTGGTATGTAGTTTGTGTGCGGTTTGTGTGCTGTTTGTGTGTGGGTATGTAGTTTGTGTTCAGTTTGTGTTCAGTTTGTGTTCAGTTTGTGTGCAGTTTTTGTGCGGTTTGTGTGTTGGTATTTAGTTTGTGTGTTGGTATGTAGTTTGTGTGTTGGTATGTAGTTTGTGTTCAGTTTGTGTTGGTATGTAGTTTGTGTGCAGTTTGTGTGTTGGTATGTAGTTTGTGTGTTGGTATGTAGTTTGTGTGCTGTTTGTGTGTTGGTATGTAGTTTGTGTTCAGTTTGTGTGTTGGTATGTAGTTTGTGTGTTGGTATGTAGTTTGTGTGCAGTTTGTGTGTTGGTATGTAGTTTGTGTGCAGTTTGTGTGTTGGTATGTAGTTTGTGTGCGGTTTGTGTGTTGGTTTGTTGTTTGTGTGCGGTTTGTCTGCAGTTTGTGTGTTGGTATGTAGTTTGTGTGCAGTTTGTGTGCTGTTTGTGTGTTGGTATGTAGTTTGTGTGCAGTTTGTGTGTTGATATGTTGTTTGTGTGCGGTTTGTGTGTTGGTTTGTTGTTTGTGTGCGGTTTGTGTGCAGTTTGTGTGTTGGTATGTAGTTTGTGTTCAGTTTGTGTGTTGGTATGTAGTTTGTGTGCAGTTTGTGTGTTGGTATGTAGTTTGTGTTCAGTTTGTGTGTTGGTTTGTAGTTTGTGTGCGGTTTGTGTGCTGTTTGTGTGTTGGTATGTAGTTTGTGTGCAGTTTGTGTGTTGGTATGTAGTTTGTGTTCAGTTTGTGTGCAGTTTATGTGTTGGTATTTAGTTTGTGTGCGGTTTGTCTGTAGTTTGTGTGTTGGTATTTAGTTTGTGTGCGGTTTGTGTGCTGTTTGTGTGTTGGTATGTAGTTTGTGTGTGGTTTGTGTGTTGGTATGTAGTTTGTGTTCAGTTTGTGTGTTGGTATATAGTTTGTGTTCAGTTTGTGTGTTGGTATGTAGTTTGTGTTCAGTTTGTGTGCAGTTTGTGTGTTGGTATGTAGTTTGTGTGCAGTTTGTGTGTTGGTTTGTTGTTTGTGTGCGGTTTGTCTGCAGTTTGTGTGTTAGTATGTAGTTTGTGTGCAGTTTGTGTGTTAGTATGTAGTTTGTGTGCGGTTTGTGTGTTGGTATGTAGTTTGTGTGTGGTTTGTATGTGGTTTTGTGCAGTTTGTGTGCGGTTTGTGTGTTGGTATGTAGTTTGTGTGGTTTGTCTGAGTTTGTGTTGTAGTTTGTGTTGTTTGTTGCAGTTTGTGTTTGTTGTTTGTGTGTGGTTTATGTTTGTGTGTGGCTTGTTGTTTGTGTGCGGTTTGTTGTTTGTGTGCGGTTTGTGTTTGTGTGCAGTTTGTTGTTTGTGTGCAGTTTGTTGTTTGTGTGTTGTGTTTTTGTTTATGTGTCGTTTGTGTGTGGTTTGTGTTTGTGTGTGGTTTGTGTGCGGCTTGTGTTTGTGTGTGGTTTGTGTGCGGTTTGTGTTTGTGTTTGTGTTTGTGGCAGTTTGTGTTTGTGTAGTTTGTTGTGCGTTTGTGTGTTGGTTTGTTGTTTGTGTGTTTGTGTGTGCGTTTGTGTTTGTGTGTGTTTGTGTGCGGCTTGTGTTTGGTGTGTGGTTTGTGTGCGGTTTGTATTTGTGTGTTGTGTTTGTGTGCGGTTTGTGTGCGGTTTGTATTTGTGTGTTGTGTTTGTGTGTGGTTTGTGTGCGGCTTGTGTTTGTGTGTGGTTTGTGTGCGGTTTGTATTTGTGTGTTGTGTTTGTGTGCGGTTTGTGTTTGTGTGTGGTTTATTGTTTGTGTGTGGTTTGTGTGTGGTTTGTGTTTGTGTGTGGTTTGTGTGTGGTTTGTGTTTGTGTGTTGTGTTTGTCTGCGGTTTGTGTTTGTGTGTTGTGTTTGTGTGCGGTTTGTGTTTGTGTGTGGTTTATTGTTTGTGTGTGGTTTGTGTTTGTGTGCAGTTTGTTGTTTGTGTGCAGTTTGTTGTTTGTGTGTGGTTTGTGTGTGGTTTATTGTTTGTGTGCGGTTTGTGTGTGGTTTGTGTTTGTGTGTGGTTTATTGTTTGTGTATCATTTTTTAAATGTAACATCAGCTTTATAAACTTTGTAAATAATTTAAGTAACGAACCTTTTGTGGTTTCTGCTCTGACTTTTTGGCCTTCTTTGATGTTTTTGACAGCTCTTAAAAAAGGAAAACAGATGAGTAAATATTTATCTGATCTTCTGAAACGCAAAACAAGTTCATACACAATCTGTACGCGTTACACACATCAAAGAAAATACAAAAGCAAATAAAGGCAAAAATTAGACATAGACAGACGGACAAGACAGACAGAGGAAGAGATGGACAGACAGACAGAGAGACAGACATACAGGCAGTCAGACAGACAGACATACAGACAGTCAGACAAAGAGACAGACAGACAGAGAGACAGACATACAGACAGTCAGACAGACATACAAACAGACAGAGAGACAGACAGAGAGACAGTGTCTGTAGTCTGAGTTTAAAGCTGGCCAGGTTTGGGGCCTGTCTTAGATCTTCTGGCTCCGGCTGGTTTCCACATTTGGTTCTAGTTCTAGCTACTGCTAACTGATCAGACTAACCTGAGATTTTCAGAGATTTTTGTCATTTGAACAATTGTGGAGAATATAAATCAAATTTGATTAAAACTATAAGTACATTATTTAATTCAGGATGTGTTTGACAATAAAAACACTGTATAACATTAGAATAAATACAGATAAACATAAACACCAGTGACGCACCAATAGCACTTTTTATAGCCTGAGTATGAGAGCATTTTTTTAGTACCTGCTGATACCGAGTCTGAGACCACACTGAGTGACCTGATGTTAATGAAGGCCGTTATCTCGCTCTGCTACATCAGTGATCTCTGATCGAGCAGCGCTGCAGTGGAGGTTTAGTTCCCTGTCAGAAAAGCTCTTCTGTACAGCTGTAAGTAAAGTAGGTTTCATAGTTTTGATCCTCATCTGTCTCTTTCAGCAGCAGCACAGCGACAGCAGGAATCACATCTGAGTCTAACGCATCCGAGGAGCTCACGCTTCCGGTTTTCCATCTTGTTGGAGTCGTTTGATTGGCTGGTTGAGCCGTAGCTGAATGTCCTCTAAAGCCAGACAGACACTGTGTGATGTTAGAGATCTTGTTCTTTGGTGACTCTCACTGTCCGTTTAATAGACCATCGTGTTCAGACAAAGCTATGATTTATAAACTCACACTGTACGAAACGCTCCGTCTGACTGACCTGCTACGGGAAACGCAGCCTCTACAGACACTCTGTCTACAGACCGTTATCAATAAAGCTGATTCACTCAGAATAACCGAGTACTGAGCAAACACACTGAGACGCTGAGCAGCGCTGCTAACACTGAGCGCTGAAGATAAAGCAGGCGCTGATGTTCACGGTAGGACAGTTCGGTCTCTCTACAGCCAGAGTTACAGAAAAATCACCATATTAATGTTTATATCTCGATATTCTACTCAGTCAAACAGAGTAAAGTTGCATAAAAGTGTCCTGGACATCATCTCGTCCAGACACGCCCCTCTGGTACCATCAGGAACATCAAAACCAGCTCAGCCAGACATGCTAACAGTTTTTTTCCCAGAGCTGTAGATCATTAACCTCAGTGGACACTCACACTGTATACTTTAACTAAACCATCAAACCAGGGCTGGGCATTTAATCTAAAATGAATCCAAACGACATTTAGAACCTCTAACTGACGTAATCCTGCCCATGTCGGTTCGTGTCCTGTCCCCCTAAAACATACTACCGTGCATGTAGTCACGCGTCTCCGCCCCGTCCAGTCTGTGACATGAAAACTTAAACACCAGCCAGCTGAGCAACTCAAGCAGCTTGTACCAAAGAGAAATGCCGTGTCTGTTGTTTGGCTTTAGTGAATGTGACACTGAGCAGAAAGAAGTCAAATGTAAACAGTTTCAGCGAATAATGGTAACACCACCAACCTGTTTCAACACTTGGAGCGCAGTCACGTTACCGAATATGAACATCGCTCAGAAAAACTGACAAGTGCTCAGCAACAAGTGTCTCCGCAAAGCAGCTGTCAATAACACCAACGTTTACAAAAGCGACACAATAATAAAAGGATTCAAGAAGATGGAAAGAATGACTGATGCCGTTTCCTACTACATTGTGAAGATTATGGCTCCCATAGCTACACTGAGTTTAAACACCTTGTTAAAACCCTCGTTAGGAGACACTGAGCCATCGCAACTGCACCCCTGCGGTGCCCAACATGGACATAACGTGTTGTAATAGGACAGCTGCAAAGCATACACTTTGCAGCCACATCTGATCTCGGGTCAAGCAGGACGATGGACCCTTTCTTTGCACTACATTTCTACCTTTCACAGGGCAATATTTAAAAAATAATATTTATTTCCAAGAGATACGTTATTTCTACTTTCCACACGGCAAATTTAAGATAACTTCTGTTTGTAAGAAATGAAAGTTATTTACTTGCTTTTTACATTAAAACTAAAATGTGACGTTTTCATTTCAAACGATGTGTGCTTTGATATCAATGCTTTGAAATATTCTATAAATAACCATCTGTGTGTTTCGTTCAATTATTTTAAAATCACAAAGATATGCACCCTTTCATTAAAAAATCCCAGCTTTAAAAGTTGAGCACGTTTACAGTACAAACTTTGTCAGTTTGCAAAAAACACAAATAACAAAACAAAATTGTTCATTAATCGTAATCGAGGTAAAATGTTCAATTAAGCGAGATTTTGATTAGCAGTCATATCATCCAGCAGTACATCAAACCTACTTACTGTATTACAGTAACTCCACTGAACAGAAGGATTATTTACACAGCTGTACAGATGTTCATATCAATCTGTAATATTCTGTATATAATAGTTTTTATGGTATAGGTCGTCAGACCTGCATTTGTCCAGATATTCGCAGTTCTCTTTAGCTCCTCCATCACTTTATTATTCTCTATTCTATTTACTGTGTTGTTACTGTATTTGTTAAATCCTTGTTATCAGTCTGTGTTTGTCTGGTCTGTTCAGTGTGTTACTGTCATACATGCTGACTCACTGAGACTGATTCCTCGTGTGTGTAACACACTTGGAGAAATAAACTGATTCTGAATCTGGTTCTGATTCTGATATACAGACGGTAAGGCTGATTATTTAGTAACTACAGGGACTTTGGTGCAAACTGGCTGAGGTTTTCTTAGATTATAGAAGTGTGTAATAAAACTCTGGGCCTGCTGGTGAGTCCTGGACATTTAAAGGGTTAAACTGACCGATGACTTTGTGTCCGAGAGACACAGCGTCAGAAACACGTCTGTCTCCATCACTGCCTGCCTGAGTCGCCTGTTCATTAGCGCAGCAGCTACACTCGTCTTACGCCACACGGTATCAGCTGGTATCATAACCTTCATAAATAAATAAATCAGCTTTAGGAGTTTGAGTGAATGAGCGCAGTATCAGACGTCTGATACCAGCATCATTATCAATGCATCCCTAATAAATACCGTAGTAATGTGTTGTTTTCAGCAAAGCTCTGAATATGTAGATTAGAAGAACAGGTTCTCCAGACACCTCATAGATTTGTTCATTATCTTCTGATAATTTAATGATTGATTAGATGCAGTGTTGGATGTTGACTGTAAATCTGATCTTCCTCAGAGCAGGAAGTGATTAAACCAACACACACATGTAAAATCAATACGTATTGTATTAATATTGTTTGTATTTACTCAATCAAAGAAACACCTACTGACAGTATATATATATATATATATATATATATATATATATATATATATATATACATATATATTATTGTAATGTGGTGTCAGAGCACACTTCCTGTGATACTTTGCTCATGCTCAGCTGGGATGTAAAGGGAACTCCACTTATTTTTCAAAAATTCTGCATAAATACATGTTTGAGAGGCAAAAAGAGTCTATTAGAGTGGTTTGGTGGTGGTGAGAGGAACCAGACGTCCACCTCTAAAAGCTCCCTCACAGAAAGTTCCTACATGAAATGGTTATGAATTCACTGCCTGATGACTGAGACGCTGTTTTATGATAGTTTAGAGAACTTAAACTCCATTCATGGTGGAGGGATACATGCAGGGAGCTGTGAGGAAAAATAGTCCCCAAAGAAAACTTATTATTTCAGATTTTCCACTATTTTCCATCATCAACATTCCATATAGACTCAGAAGACTCGTGTAGGTTCACTGGTGGTTCTGGATAGTAAATAAAATGTCTATATTTGTGTTGTAGTCATGGCGACCCCTGGATCCCATCACCACCACTGTAAAGACATCTGAACCATTTCACACCAAACCACTCTGAATCTCTCTGATTACATCTCACACACTGAGTTATGGGGGAAATTTTAAGATGTGTAGAAGTTCTTATAACCATAGTAAAGGTTTTCAGTCTCATTTTCAGGTGTGTGGTGTTTATGTGAACTCCTGGTAAAAACCCTGGTGGGATTCTGTAACAGTTACGGCCGTGTTGGAGGTGTAAAGGGCACATTTCCTCCCTCCCGAAATAAGAGGGATTCTCCTCTCTTGTGCTCCGGCAGCCGAGTCAGTTCTGAGTGAAAGCTGCCTCTTCTGTGTTCCTTCCTCACTGCAGTGATTTAACAATCTTAAGTAACACTTTATTTGCATCGTCCACTTTATTTGATTTGTAGATACTTCATTTAATTTCAAGTTACATTGAACTAAATATCTACTAAATTAACCATAATGCTCTTTACCTCTAAACCTGCTCTAATCCTAACCCTAACCTTAACCTCAACACAAAACCTAAACCCAACCCTCACCCTGGTCCTAGCCCTCACCCTCACCCTCACCCCACCACTGTTTAGAATCTATTTAGAGTTGTAACAGATAGTTTGTTAACAGTTTGACCATCTATAGATGATCTATAGTGGACTATCCAAATAAAGTGAGACCCAGTCTTAGGTGCCTAGAACGTTTACACAGGGTGGTATATAATACTGTCCTGTGTTTAATCCTGTTTAGCAGATGTTTATAGTGCAGTATATCTTATTTTATGGTGTTTATTTATTTCCTGCTGAAAAAGTACCTTTAAAAACCAGTAGGGTTAAAACTTAATGGTTTTGCCTTCTAATGGGAATAGGCTTATTGGTTTCACTCACAGTTTCCTGCAGAACACCTTTAGATCCCATTAGGAACCCATCGGATGCATTTAGTATCAGCCATTTTCCTTTCTTTTTTGTTTGTTTTTTTTTATGCACAACAGACCGAAGATAGTAAGTATTCGTGAGTATTCAGATAAAAACGGATAAAAAAATGAAGCAATAAACTAAACAGTGCAGGGTGAGGGTTTGTACTGGACACATTCCCGATTGAACCATTAGGACCCTTTACACTGTGAAATCGACACATTTAAAACACATTACTGACTGGGTTCTGTGGGTTTTTCAGCAGGGGGTCTGTAGTTTGTAGGAAATATAAGTGAGAGTTTTGCTGCACTTTGAGTAAACGACACTAAAGACCTTTGACCTGAAATAAAGCCCTGTGTGAGTGAGTGAGTGAGTGAGTGAGTGAGAGAGAGAAGGAGCCGTACCCACTATGAGGATGGCGGGGGAGTGGGTTTGGTTCTGGAAGCTGGTTGTGGTGGTCAGGTTGGAGCTGTTCAGCTCCTCCATCAGCATGTGTGGCTTCACTGTCTCCCAGCATGCCGAGCAGAACACCAAACAGCACAGCAGCAGCCGTGAGTTCATCTTTAGATCCTCCTGCGTCTGAACAAACACAGACAGAGTCGCTCAGAACCTCAGCGTCTCCTCAAACACCCACAGCTCGGATCTCCTGTCTGAGTCACTCAGACACTCAGTTTACTCAGATACGGAGATCAGACAGTTAAACTCTGAGCTGAGGTGCTTTAGTCATCTGTACAGAGTAAATAACATTAAATACAGGCAGATGATCTACAGATCAGACTGACCTTTCAGCAGAACACTGTAAAACATGATTCATCAGCTCAACCTGAAAGAAACAACTTTACATGATGACAAGCAGTTCAACTGCTTTTGTTCAACTCAAATGAAAAGTTCAAAGCAAAATAAATAGTTTAAATAAACAAAATTAATATTTTGCATCAATTTAAACCTCATAAAAGCAGAAACTGCACATCTGCACTGCTTCACTTTTAACTGTACAGTGTAATAAAATGTTGGTGCGACTTCACAAAACTCAACACGTCACTATTTACTGAAATGTCCAGCTCCAAAACTTTATGCACACGGCCTAAAAATACAGCCAGTCTGTGTTGCAGTTACTGAATACACTGTAGAAATGGCTCATTATCATCAGATCAGCCTAAAAATGACCTCATGTAGTAACAAGTAAATTAACTAGTTTTATTCAACATTAATAAACACTCTGAATGATTCTTTTGATCACTGTAATTTTTTCATTCGAATAAAATTAGTTCAGTTTCTTTTTACCACATGAAGTAATTCTTTTAGGCTGATCTGATGAGCCACTTTTACAGTGTAATAAGCCTCAGAGTTCATTAATTATTAATCAGTTAATCCATGCTGTAGACATAAGGCCTGTTTTGTAGCAGTGTAAATAAAAACAAATTACAATTTTAAAAATGGGGTTAATGCAAATCAGATTTGTATGATAATAAATATAAATTCTCATTAAATTAACTGGAGTGTCTGAATAAATTCCCCTGTGATCTCTGATTGATCACTGACCTTCATTCATTCTGTCCAAACTCTCAGAACAGACAAGTTAAAACAGCACAGAGTCCTTCTTTAATCTTAACTCTAGGGTCAGTTTTTCGGTCAGGGGATTAAGTTTAGTCCTGGACTTCGCAGGACTGAGCGGAGATGGAGATTCTCCACTGAGCAGGATGTTTAAACTTAATCCCTGTTCAGCTGTGAGTGTTTACAGATTAAATACGAAGCGTGCTGCTGGTAACGCTTCCTTTCTGAGAGCACAGCTATACTCATCTCTGCTGGACCATAGTGGACAGTACAGTTCGTGTCCAGGGTGGCTGTGAGTGAGGATCTCTGCTCTGGTTCTGCCTGAAGAACTTTCACATTCCAGAAGCGTTTAAAGCTCAGAGGCTCCAAACTTGGACACTATTTACCCCACAATCTGCTCTCGTCCTCCAGCTAAGCGTCCTGCCCGTCCTGCCTGTCCTGCTCGTCCTCGTCGTCCTGCTTGTCCTGCTTGTCCTTCTCGTCCTCGTCTCCGCAGTAAACTGTCCTCCACTCGGTTCTGGTGGTCAAAGTTAAAGCGGAGATGTTCTAGACTCAGCCGAGTCTGCTGAGCTGGTAGAGGTTCCTGTTCTCCTGCGGCTGAGGTTCTCTGTGTTCCTTTCGCTGCCGCTGTGAGGGAACACCAGCACTGGACGGACTTTTGTAGTCTGATTTTGAAGGGTGAAGGGCTAACGCTGAGCAGGGGCGGACCACCCCCACCAATCCCCCCCTCAACACAGACACACAGACAATACGCACACACGCATGCGTGTACACACACACACACACACACACACACACAGACACACACACAGACACACAGAGAAAGAACCGGACTTTTATTATAAATGTTCGTACAGGAACCCTAAAAGTTCCGAATCAGTGAGAAACGGAATATTAATAAATTATTATATATAATTTTAGATTCACACATTTAACTGCACACTTAAAAAGCACTTCCTCTAAGGTTCTTCAGTGAAGGCAACACCTCCATATGGTTCTTCACATGGTAAAATGGTTAAATGGTTCTCCGCATTGTCAGAATAAAGGTTCTGTGCAGGTTCCCCAAATATACAAACAATAAAAATGTGCCCTTTAAGCTCCAACTGTGTGTTTAAATGAGTTGCCCTACGTTTCTCTCCCAGTGATGAAGTTCAGTAAGTAAAGTTTTTATATTGTAAAAATAAAATAAAAGTCTGGAGGCGAGACGGGACTTTTAACATGTTTCAAAACGTAAGAATTACAGCAGAATCTGGTGCAGTTAAACTGAAGGTTCTCACCACAGTGAGAGAGACGTGGATGCAAACAGGTCCAGTTTAGGACCTTTTAATGTAAGAGTCTTTATGTGGTTCTTGAAAGAACCTTCTAAAATAGCTGTTACAAGTCAGAACCTTTTATTATTATTATTATTATTATTATTATTATCATTATTATTATTATTTTTATTATTATTATTATAACTACTACAAATACAAATTATTATTAATATCACATTTAAATGAGTGTGTAACATATGCAGGCCTGGGACTAATTCACAGAACATGTTCTCTGAGGAACGCTGAAGTTCTAAAAACTCTAGATGTTCCATTTTCCAGGATTTCCACTCTGTGAGCTCTGGAGAATCTGAAGCTCAGCAGATTTAACGTCACTGGATTAAACGTCTGAGATCTGTTTCCTCCTGAATGCTGTGTTTGACTCTGTAATCCTGCCATTCAGTCAGATGTGGTGTAATCACTGTAAATGTGATAAACACTGTGAACGCTAGTGTTTCCTCTGTGTTTCTGCTGTCTGTTGTTTGACCCTCACTCAGCTCAGAGCTGCTGATTGAGCCCCCTGCTGGCTGCTGTGTCAGCACTGTAATCAACTCCACTCTGCCTGGAAAAACATTATCAACTCTATAACCTCATTATGAACTAACCTCATTATCAACTCTATAACCTCATTATCAACTCTATAACCTCAACCTCTATAAGAGCATCAACAACCGATCATCTCTCAGACTCATTTCTCTGAGCTACACATATAAAAACACAAGAACATCCACAGTTTAGGCCTCTATAAGAGTGTTAACCACCGTCTATAACAGATACAATAATAGATTTATAATATTCTTATGAACTATAAAATGAGGTAAATAAAACAAAGAAAGTTTATTGATCTGAATATGCTGCAGATCTGCTTTCTAAAGTTAAAGGGAAAACTATTTTGTTAACCCATTGAAGTTTATTCTGTAATGTATGTTAAGCTGATTTAAAATCACACGCTAAGTGTTACTGTGATCTCAGTTCCAGGATGGAGTAATAACTCAAAAATTATACTGCTTAATAACACTGTAATTACATACACAGCGTTCTGTATGATTAATCAGACTGGGTGTTAAAGGGTAAAGTAGACGGTGTGGAAAACTTTCTGTGTTCAAGGTTCTGTGATTATTAAAGCTGTAAACTTTACTGTAAAGCTGTCAGTCTCCTCAGTTTTCAGGGCTAATAAATCTGTTTACATTCAGGTTTCATTAAAACACCAGCTCAGTCAGAGTTAATAAACACTCCTTCGTGTGTAGATTTGTGTAGAATTGTGTGGAGGTTTTTGTCTTTTTAAAGATCTGCACACTTGAAAAGATGGTTCTTCAAGGATTCTTTAGTCTTTTCTTTTTAAAAGTGGGGTAAAATATCCCTACAGTGTAAATATTTCTTGCTTTTTTATTCATAATTGTTTATATTGTTAACCTTTGTGAAGGATAGAGTTTATATTTGTTATCTTTATCTTTAGTAATATATATATTATCTATACAGCAACAAGACACAAACTGTAATCCCGTTAAGTTATTAATAAGGTTAATTACGTTGTTTGTTAATTCTCTTCTTGTTACTCTGTTCCTGAGTGCCTTGTTCTCCCTTTGCTGCTGTAGCTCTGTGAATTTCCCCGCTGTGGCGCTAATCAAGGATTATCTTATCTTATCTTATTGAACAATACAAGAACCCTTTTTAAAAAGGTTCTATATAGAACCATCTACAGCACATTCTCCATCAGTCTTGAGAACCATTTCACCTTGCAAAGAACCCTTTAATCTTACAAAAGGATCTTTGAGTGTTCATGGTCCAAATAGAACCACTTTCTGTATGAATGTCTGAATGGTCAGGAGCAGCGTATTTATCTGACCTGCTGCAGCGATACGAGCTGAGCAGAACCCTCACATCATTAGGAACTGGTCGGTCAGTCCTGCCGAAGGTGAAGACTAAACGTGGAGAAGCAGCATTTAGATACTATCCTGCTCTAAAATGGACCCAGTGGACAGAGAGCATTAGAAGATCCCGACACTGGACACTTTAAATCAGCCTGAAAACGATCCTGTTAGAGCAGCTTTCAGCTCAGTTTAAACACTGTTAGCTCTACTGCTCTTCTCTCCTCTAATGACACTCATTTTCATGTTCCTCTAATGACACTCAATGACATGTTATTTTAATCATGTTTTAACGTTTATTCTCCAACACCTTTTAAACTATAATTTGAACTGTCTCTGTATTTTCTCTTTGTAAAGCACTTTAAATGAGTGTGCTATCTAAATACACTTTCTTGTGAGGAATCTAAATACGTGCGTGTCCAGTCCAGTCCAGTTAATCAGACAGTGAGATGACTGTTGTTGTCACAATGTGACAATGAAATGATGCGAAATGAATATCAGCTTTAATGGGTCTGTCTGTGCAGCTACATGTAGAAATTACAGCCTTTTTAAATAAAGTCGCCCACGTTAGAGATCCATAATAAAGTAACTAAATAACCTGTACTGTAATGACCGCACGCTGGGTATCCTCTCTGCTGCTGCTCTGCCAGCAGTTTGAATTCCTGCTTGTTTCTCTTTTACCCTCCGCCGTGTGTTGTGTGAGGGAGCTGTGTGCTCAGTGTGTTTCAGGTCAGGTGATTGATTCAGCTGGTCCAGAACATTCCACTCTGCTGGCCCTGATAAACTCCAGAGCTGCTCCAGTGTTGTGTTTTGTATTGATGTGCTGCAAGATGAAGCTCTACCCACCACTTAAAGACAGCTGGCTAAAAGTGAGCAACTCTGATGCTTCTGTACACTTCAGAGTTCAGTTGCTCATCATCAATAAATAAATAGACGTGCCTGAGAAACCAGGTTTTATATAAGTCATATGTTCAGATCACAGATTGGCCCTTTTCTCCACACTTCCCTCATTCTGTCACTCTGGTACAGGTTAATTACTGTCTCATTTGTCCAAACAGCTTTTAAACGAGGACCCTGAAGGCATTTTGATGTATATTTTAGTCCACTGTAACATGTCAAACAGCGGGATTGTGGTAAACCCACAGTGGCATATTGCAAACTACAGCTGAGGTTCTGTACAAACTAGAGTACAAACTACAGAGTGTACTATAAAGAGTATGGATACAAACTATAGAGTATACCATAAAGATTATAGAGTACAAACTACAGGATATACTATAAAGAGTATAGAGTACAAACTACAGGATATACTATAGAGTACAGAGTATAGAGTACAAACTATAGAGTGTACTATAAAGAGTATGGAGTACAAACTAGAGAGTATACTATAAAGAGTCTAGAGTACAGAGTATGGAATACAGAGCATACAGTACAGTATGTATAGAGTATAGAGTAGAAAGTACATCTTATAGATTCCAGAGTACAGAGTGTGGAATACAAAGTATAGAGCCCAGAGTGGGTGGTGGGGCGGCCAGTAGCCTGGTGGTAGGAGAGGTGAGCCAGGAACTGAAAGGTCATGGGTTACAATGCTGGGACTGACTGGGTGGTCCTGGTTGTGTCCTTGTGCAAAGTGCATACCCTATAGAGTATAGAGTAGAGAATATAGATTACAGAGTAGAGGGTATAGACTACTGAGTATAGATTATAGAATACGGAATATAGATTACAGAGTAGAGGGTATAGATTACAGAGTACAGAATATAGATTACAGAGTAGAGGGTATAGATTACAGAGTACAGAATATAGATTACACAGTACAGAGTATGTAGTATGGAATATGGAGTCGATAGTACAGAGTCCAGGTATCTGGACTCCATGAAAGCAGCTGTCTAGTTCCTTTCTTAGCTCAGTGTACAGTTTAAAGATGATGTAAACAAACTGGCCTGAAGATCAAAGTGGAAGGAAGTCATGGGGCGGAGCCTCTGACTCACAGCAGTGTTTTCATGTTTATCCATAAAACTGCAACAAGCTCTTGGCTGTTTGCTCACCAGCAATGAAAAGCCACATTTAAATCAGTCTGTTATTCTCCATTAGTGCAGTGGTAAACATTTGACCTGATGACTGTGTTCAATTTTCAGATTTACTGATTTGTGTTTGACCTTCTCCTGCGCTGGCATTTACCTGGACAACGTCCAACCACTGGCCAATTTAGGGAGCTTGAGTAAATAGGAATTTACCCTAAGGTTTAAGTGCTTTTCTCCTCCAACAGGGCTTCACAGAATAACAAGCTCAGCAGCTCTGAGCTCAGATGGTGTCGGTTTGTTGCTCTGCCTGTGGAGACGTGTGGGATTAACGATAATGTGCGACTGCTCTGTGTTCAGAGGCTGCAGACGCTGCTCCAGCTGTTTGTTATACAGGTGGGATTCATTTTAAAAGGTTGGGCATTGTTTGTTTATTTTTATGCGCTTTATTCTCGCAATATTGCTTACTTTTATGTTCCTGTTGCAGCTGGAGGGAACAACTAATCCAGGTGATTGTTTTTTATATGTGCCAGTTTGTTTCCTCAGTGTTGTGTAACATGATAATAAAACACTTCACACAAATATTTAAAACATTTCAGCTGAAATATTTCTCCTAATAAATGCTGTGAGTACAGAGCGCCTGATGTGCTGTGAGAGAAGCGCCTGAAGAGCAGCTCTGACACATTAACTCAGCAGGACCTGTTCAGTTTGAGCTGTCAGTGAATCAGCTGTCGGCTCGTTAGCGAAGCTTCTGTTCAGTCTGAGCTGGAGAGAGTTAGCTTTAGCCACAACGCTAACAGAGGGACAAACCTTCACGCCAAGCTCCGACCACATCAACCTCATTAGTGTCCATTCAGAGCTCGGGAAGAAACAGTTACATGTGGATGATTCTACTGAACTGAGTCAGAGTCAGAGCTGAAACACATCTGGGACTTTAACCAATCTCAGACTTCAGACTTTTGCTCTGAGTGACTGTAAACCTGAATTATGATTGTTTTTATTAAAACTAATGACGGAACATTCTAAAACAATCATAACTCTACCAAACTTTACCAAGTGTTTCAGTAGTGACTGTTTCAGTAGTGACTGTTTCGGTGACAATTTTAGTGTCACGACTCCCTTTGGCTCTGAACTCTCTCTGGACTCAATCTCCCAGTGATCATGTGACTCCAGCCTCACTCTCACGCTCCAATCCGCACTCCAGCTCCCCAGAGTATTGATCAGTAACACCTGTTCTTCTTTGATTAGTTTAGTTTAAAGCCCAGGCTTGTAGATAGATTCTTTGCGAGGTATTGCTTCTTTCCGCAGAGCTACTGAGCGTTATTTCTGATTGTTTATTCCTGTTCTGATCCATTTTGCCTTGTTTTTTGACCTGCCTTTTGCCTGATCCCTTTTGGACTGTTCGCCTGGATGTTTGTGTTTTTGTGTTTATTGTCTTTTCTGGATTTGACCATTGCCTGTGACCTGACTACGATAGTGGGTTCTGTTTGCACTAGTAAAGCCTCTCAGTCACTTTTTATCTGCAAGCATCTGCGTCATTCTGTCGTGTTACATTTAGCTCATTCTGAGCTCAGAAACTCAGCCAGTACAGACCAGCAAACACAGCTCTGAACAGCTGTTCACACAGAAAATCATCATATTTTACATTAAAACACTAAAAAGTGCTGAACTGCAGAAAATATGACGATTCTTAATGTTCCGCACTGATTTCAGACTTCGGGACAGATTTACTTCAAAACAGCAGGATCTAACTGCTCACCATGTGGCCATGAGGGACAGGGATGCAGCCTCACTTCCTGCTCTAAAATGCAGGGGCGTGGCTAAATTAACTAGATAGACTAGAACGCTTTGTGTTTCAGTAGTGATGAACAAGCTTTTATGTAAAAATTTAACTGAATATAAATCTAAATCTTTCAACTTTAAAAGATATCAAAAAGTTAGTGGTCAGAAATGAGGGGTCAGGGTTCAGGACAGACTCCTCCCAATAGACAGTACCCTATGAATGATGACTGTGTATATATTTAGCTTATTACCGCCTCTATTAATGCTTAGGGTTTAACTATATCAGAACAGAATCCAGTATCTAAGCTCTGAATACGTCATCATTACATCATCCATTACTATAGATTACAATAATGTTATAATGGATTCTCATAATGCTATAATAGAGTATAATATTGTTGTAATAGAGTATAATAATGTTGTAATAGAGTATAATAATGTTGTAATAGAGTATAATAATGTTCTTAGTCACTTTATTTTGAGAATTTGCAATAAATAATCAACAGATGCTTTAAATGTTAACAAGCTGTCAGCTCTACAGTGTTAGAATTACACTGTAAAAAATTATGGATCTTTAAGGGTTCTTCAGTAAAGAACATGGTTCTATGTAGAACCATGAGTACTCAAAGAACCCTTTGCATGATTAATGGGTTCTTTGCATCATTAAATGGTTCTTCAGATTGATGGAGAATGTGATGTACATGGTTCTAAATAGGACCAGGAATGAAGCTCTGATAACGTCCAGAACCTTTATTCCAGGAGTGAAGGTCAAATCTCAGACAGAGAACTTCAAGAGTTCTGTTCCAAAAAAGTGTGTACATCTATTTTGGGTGAGGAGTTTTGGAAGAGGCTAACAACTTATAACAAAAACAATTCTTGAAATTGGTCTATAATGTAGTTTGGAACAAAATTCTTCACTTATCCAGAAATGACACTTTAATAATGGCTTGTCAGTTTAACCTAAAAACACACTTCATAGTTTTATTCAACCTAAATTAATATTTTGAATGAACAATTCAATTAATGGAATTTTGAGCTGAATGAAACTAGTTTAATTTCGTGTTACTACATGGAGTAATTTTTTTAGGTTGAACTGATGAGACACTTTTTACAGTGTCTTATAAATAATCAGTTACAGTTTATAATCAGTTATATTACACATTTTTAGCAGAAAGGTTCTATATAGTACCAAAATAGGATTGTTTGGCTTGTAACAGCAGTGGAACCCCTTTGGTGCTACACTGTGAACAAAAGGAACTTACAAAATTTACTTCATGTGGAAGGAAGAAACAAATTAACTAGTTTTATTCAACTCAAAAAATCAGTGATTAAAAGAATCGTTGATTGACAGTGTTAATATAGTCTGGATAAAACTTGAAAAGTTACAACATGAAGTCATTTTTTAGGTTGAACTGACCAGGAATTTTTTAGTGTTTTTAACAGTTTATAAAGAACCCTTTTCAAAAAGGTTCTATATAGAACCATCTACAGCACATTCTCCATCAGTCTGAAGAAGCCTTTAATCATGCAAAGGGTTCTTTGAGTGTTCATGGTTCTATACAGAACCATTTTCTTTACTAAAGAACCCTTGAAGAACCCTCTTATAAGAGTGTATTATACAGTTTGTCATTGTTCTAAAAGTGAAGGTAAGTCTCAGACAGAGAACTTCCAGGGTCCCGTTCCAAAGTGCTGTGAACTCGTTTGTATCTATTTTGGGTTTAACTGATGAAAATAATAATAAGAGTATTTAAATCTCTCCTTTCATCTTCTGATAATCTGCATTAGTACAGAACATTTTGGGGCTCTTTTCAAACTAGAAATGAAGAATATCACATAGCAGAAAACCCTCTTTACATCTTTGATCTATTAGAGCTCAATTATGTTGTCTGGATGATTAACTAAAAAAAACAGGATAAAAAACATGATTTGTTTGATCTTCCAGATCGGCCTGGTTTCAGTTTGGGAAGCTGCAAAGCTCAGAGTCCTGCAGAACCTCCTCCTCCTCCTCCTCCTCCTCCAGCCTACAGCCTTCAGAGATGTGTTTAGTCAAAGTGGAGGTAACAGACTGGAACTGAAGTCTAACAGAGAGAGAGAGAGAGAGAGAGAGAGAGACAGAGAGAGACAGAGAGAGAGAGAGATACAGAGTGACAGAGAAAGAGAGAGAGAGAGGCAGAGAGATACAGAGAGTGTGAGAGAGAGACAGAGAGAGATATATAGAGAGAGAGAGTAAGAGGGAGAGAGATACAGAGAGAGAGAGACAGAGAGAGATATATAGAGAGAGAGAGTAAGAGGGAGAGAGATACAGAGAGAGAGAGACAGAGAGAGATATATAGAGAGAGAGAGTAAGAGGGAGAGAGAGACAGAGAGAGAGAGAGAGAGAGAGAGAGAGAGAGAGCAGAGAGAGAGACAGAATACAGAGACAGGGAGAGGGAGAGAGAGAAAGACACAGAAAGAGACAGAGAGAGAAAAGAGAGACAGAAACAGAGAGACTGATAGAGAATGAGACAGAGAGAGACAGAGAGAGAGACAGAGACACAGAGAGAGAGAGACAGAGAGAGAGACAGAGAGAGAGACAGAGACACAGAGAGAGAGAGACAGAGAGAGAGACAGAGACACAGAGAGAGAGACAGAGAGAGGTGGGGCCGCTGAGCTGAAGTGGAGCCTCTGCATGTGTTTTCACTCTCTGTAATGGTGAGGGTGATTATGTAGTTGTGATCAGACACTCAGAGCCGCGCTCACTGATGGTCTGATTGTGTTTTAGACTCGCACACTGAGGTCAGATAATCGTTGACCTGCACACCGTCCATGCAGAACCATGGCTCCTCAGCTCGCTGCGGACAGGCTGGCTTTAATTTGACTCCAGAGCTCTGTGCTTTGGTGCTGCGGAGTATCAGGAGAGATTAGAGCGGAACTCAGAGCTCAAACACGGAGTCTCAGTGACGCTGTTCGGATCTGGTCAGAACCGCTGACCCAAACACAGACACTGAACCAAACACAGACACTGACCCAAACACAGCCGCTGACCCAAACACAGACACTGACCCAAACACAGCCGCTGACCCAAACACAGACACTGGCCCAAACACAGCCGCTGACCCAAACACAGACACTGACCCAAACACAGCCATTGACCCAAACACAGCCGCTGACCCTAACACAGCCGCTGACCCAAAAACAGACACTGACCTAAACACAGCCGCTGACCCAAACACAGACACTGAACCAAACACAGCCGCTGACCCAAACACAGCCGCTGACCCAAACACAGCCGCTGGCCCAAACACAGCCACTGACCCAAACACAGCCATTGACCCAACACAGCCACTGACCCAAACACAGACACTGACACAGCCATTGACCCAAACACAGACACTGACCCAAACACAGCCGCTGACCCAAACACAGCCATTGAACCAAACACAGCCATTGACCCAAACACAGACACTGACCCAAACACAGCCGCTGACCCAAACACAGCCATTGAACCAAACACAGCCATTGACCCAAACACAGCCATTGACCCAAACACAGCCGCTGACCCAAACACAGCCGCTGAACCAAACACAGCCGCTGACCCAAACACAGCCGCTGACCCAAACACAGCTGCTGACCCAAACACAGACACTGACCCGAACACAGACACTCACCCAAACACAGACACTGACCCAAACACATCCGCTGACCCAAACACAGCCACTGACCCAAACACAGCCACTGACCCAAACACATCCGCTGACCCAAACACAGACACAGAGTGAAAACGGAGGATCTCTCAGCTCTGATCTTCAGGGCGCTCAGTCAGCAGATCCAGATCCGTGAACACTGATCATATTCATAACTCAGACACACAGAGCAGCTCCTCACTCCAGCACCGGTCTGAGAGATCAGATCAGATCAGATCAGATCAGATCAGATCCTCCTTTATTAGTCCCACCACAGGGGAAATTCACAGAGCTACAGCAGATGGACAGCAAGAGATCCGTACCAGCTAACAGTGTCTATAGAGCTCTTCAGACACACACTGAAGACCACAGATTATAATGTAAGGCTAGATTATAATACTACAATAGAGTTTAATAATATTATAACAAATTATAATAATGTTATAACAATTTATAGCTCTAGATTATAATAAAGTCATAATGAATGATCATAATGTTATAATAGATTATGATAATGTATAAAGGATCACAATAATGTCATAATGGATTACAAAACTGTTATAAGAGATTATTATAATGTTATAATAGATTATTATAATGCTATAATAGAATTTCATAATGTTATAGCAAATTGTAATAGTGTTAGATTATAAGAATGTTATAACAGTAATACTATGATTGATCCTAATAACGTTATAATAAATTATAATGTTAGATTATAATAATGTTCAAATGGATTATAATAATTCTATGATAAATCATAATCATTTTAGATTATAGTAATGTTACAATAGATTATAATAACGATATAATAGATTATTATAATGTTTTAACAAATTATGTAGATCATAATAATGTTATAATAGATTATAGTAAATTCTAATAACAGATCATAATCCTGTTAATAAATTATAAAATGCTATAAATAGGTTATTATAATGTTTATCTACAGTGTTAGGATTAAGATTAAGGTTTAATAGAATCTGAAATTCAGTCCCATTTAATATATATTTAGTTGAGTTTTTTGAGCTGAGTGTTTATAAATGTATAAAATGACTCTAATATGATGCTTCACTGTAATAAAAGTGTAGATCAGAGCTGCAGGAGATTCTACACAGTAACATCCAGAACTCATCATATTTCAGGAGTGGAGATCAAATCTCAGACAGAGAACTTCTGGAGTTCTGTTCCAAAAAAGTATGTACATCCGTTTTGGATATGAGGAGTTTTTGAAGAGAATCCTAGAATAGTATGATGGAAAACATTTTATTTTATTTAATAAAGATGATATTAATCACAATATAGCACTGATGATTCTTGTATGTGTAAAGCTCACTCACAACAACTTACACCATGAAAAATAATGTGTTATATGGGTCTATAATGTGTTTTGGAACATGAAATTACTGCAAATAAACAATTACAGTTTCTTGGTTATCAGTTCATCACTTCTTGGTGTTCTCAAAACCCTCAAATATTGGATTAATATTTTTTTCAAATAAATTTTGAAGTCTAGCCTGCAGTATTTTAATCCCCACTGAATGTATTATTAAATTCTATTAAATAACAGTGATTATTACTGTTGTTTTAGTGATTGTTTAGTGATTTAGTGTGCAGCAGTGTGAGGCTGTGCGGAGCTGCAGTTCAGACTGTTCTCTTACTGAAGTTACTGAATGTGCAGAATGTAGAAAATATTTGATTGAAAAGCTGTTTGAGTTCAGATTAAATGAAGGTTCCAGGAATTGTGGAGAACAGTGTACATTAATAAAGCTCTGTGATTGGTTCTCAGCATTTAGAGAACGTCTCATTCTGCCTGGGTTTGGTTTTGATGTTCTAAATCAGAGGGAGTTTGAAGCTCAGCTGCTCAAAGTAGAGCTTTACATTCATCTGTGCGTTTGATCAGGTCCAGCAGAACCTTTACCCAGAAGCTTCCCGCCTCCAAATACAGAACAAATAGAACTTACACAGCATCTTAATTACAACTCTTTAAAATTAGTTTTATCATAAACTCCCCTATTAATGAAACGTCATCAAATAACAGTTTAAACCCAGCGCTGAACCGTGACTATCAGAGCACTCTTAAAAACATGGTTCTTCAAAGGTTCTTTAGCAAAGACACTGATTCTACACAGAGCTATGAACACTCAAACAGCCATTTGCATGCTTAAATGGTTCTCTGCATGGTAAAATGGTTCTTCAGACTGATGGAGAATGTGTTATGGTTCTGTATAGAACCTTTTTGAAAATGGTTCTATATAGTGCCAAAAATGTGCCAACTGTGTTAAGAGTAGCTACTAAGAAACACTCTTAAAAAAGATGGTTCTTCAAGGGTCCTTTAAAGATAAAAGTAATGACCCTTTTTGGTGCCACACAGAACCATATAAAACACATTGTCCATCAATATGAAGGACCATTTCACCCTTCAGAGAACCAAATAGTTCTTTGAGTGTTCAAGGTTCTTTTTAAAACTATTGCCTTTACACTGTTATTAATGAAGGTTCTGTTCAGGTACATTTTTCGTTCATCGAGGTACAAACAGTGTAAATGTTCCTCAAAGCTCCAACAGTGGTTTTAAGGTCTGATTGTGAACCTTAAATAAGTGTTTCCAGGTGAAAAGTTCGTATTTGTACCTTTTCATAACCGAATGTTTTAAACAGAACAGTAAAATAAAAGCCTGGAGACGAGACGGGGTGTGTGGAGTCAGTACAGCTTAGAACGTATCATTTCAGTGGATTATGGTTCAGTTATGTTCCCTGACTAAAGGTACTGAGATGGAGCCTTGAGGGTCCCACCCCAGTGACAAGAGGGGGGGGGCTGCCCCAGAGAGAGTTTGGTACCTTTATTTCTGAGAGTGAACTGAAGAACCCTTGACGAACCATGTATTTTTTTAAATGTAGGGCTGCAGTTCAGGTCATAAATATTAAAGCTCTATCAAGAAATGTGTAAACAAACACCTTTATAATAGCGCTAACTTCTGCTAGCTGTGGGATTTCTAATGGTCTGCTATTGCTAAGCTATCTAGCTATCCATGCCTGTAATTCACATGAACGTTTTGTGTGTTTTAGATTAGACATTATCATATATCTGAGCTTGTATGTATCAGTGACTCTTTCAGTAAAGAATCCACAGAGCTATCGGTGCTGTTTAACATTCCTAACAACTAACCCGGAACACTGCTACAGCTCGTATTCACAGTCAGTGACATATCTAGAACTTCCAGAAGGACTAGAGTGACAGTTCTTACCACTCATTGTAAATCTAAGTGTGATTGGTTGGTTCTTTTATCACTTCCACAAGTTTGTTGGTAGTTAATCTAACATATAAGGCCTTCAATCCAGCTTCTGAAGTCCTAACCAATGGGAGAGCAGCTCAGCTGGGTCTACCTAGATACCACAGAGAGAACCATCTGGGCATTTCAGGATTTTAACTCTTTTGTTTCAAACCAAAACTTAATGAATCTGAACATTACTACAGCTTTAGATCACAGAGATCACTGGGTTTTCTCTGAAGTCCTAAAACACCCTGAATGTTCCTCACTGTGAAAAACCTGCTTGTCTTTTTGATTTGTGTTCTTTGTTCTCGTCCATTTTCACTGCCAGGAGGAGAAGTTTGGGCACCGATGGCCTAAATTATCCACAGCTGCATAAACAGCAGATATTATATCGTCACTGTTGGGACAAAACCTTGTATATTTTGACATAATTTGAAATCGCCAGTTAAGATTTCGTGAAGAATGAACCAACAGAAATGCTCCAACATTACCTGGAAAATATTTCTCTATTAAAGTTAAAAAAGTGAAGAACATTTATTCCTTAACTGTAAAATTACCCTTTCAGAGTGAGGTTTAGTTCTGACAGTGATGATGTATATATAGTGTTCAGTAGAGCTGGTTGTTTATGTTTTATGTGTTCTGGTTGTTCGTCTGTTAGTTAATCTTCTCCATATTAATGCATAAATAAGTGGTTTTATTTCAAAGCAAATCAAGAATCTTCTTTTACATACACACATACAGGAGGGAGCTTCACACACCAGACATATCAGTGTGTTATGATTAATACCTTCTTTATCTGAGTAATAAATGTTTCCCGTCACACAGCAGCTGTTCTTCCATTCAGAAACTCCAACATTGTTACAGATACTCAGCAGTTCTGAGCTCCTCAGCTCATTGGTGCACTTCCACAAATCGGCCCTTGTTCTGAACACAGTGAATCACTGTCTGTGGATGTAAGTGAGTGACCTGATTTATGTTCTAAAGGGAACTACAGTGGAACACTGAGAATCTGAAGCTCTCTGGAGAACATCTAACACACGTCAGCAGAGCAGCAGCAGGTAAGAGAACAACCTCACACTCTGTCAGCACACGAACACACGGCCGGCGGGGCAATAGACAACTCGGCTCTCGGACCTCCTGTAAAAGTGTGTTGGTGGTGATGATGTTAAAGCTGGACGGGGTTTCAGATCTTTATGAATCATCAGATAAACGTAATGAGTCTTCAGTGTAAATGTAGATAGTAAAACTGCATCACTGCACACCACAGCCAAAACACCCACACAGCGATATTACTCCAATATTTACATCTCAATATCTGATGTATGTTTTGCAGTGTGTGTAAATACAGTAATTTGCATATTATTGTTTTTATTGTTGACTTTTTTACATAGTAAAAACCAATATTGTGTGAATATTTATGTGCATTAGAAGTTAATAATGCTCTTTTTCTCCTCCTAAACAGCTACAGGTCGAGGTTTTGTTCAGGCGTTGATGATATAGAGCTTCAGCTGAACATGATGAGCATATTTATACCTTAAAATTAACAACTGACCTTCACCAAATAGTGCAGTATCGTGAATGTGTCACGCATAGATATGATTCTCAACTTAAAAATTCTATCAGCATTCAAAAAACACTCATTCGATATGTTATAATAGGATCACTTTGTTTGATCAGCACATTTTATAGTTCATTTAGAAGTCTCATTATTCGCTCAGTAAAGACAAAAACAAACAGTTCTAAATAGATTATTTACTGTGCGTCAACTTGTATTATTAAAAATCACTAATAATTGCATTATTAGCTGTAATAATACACAAAAACACTTTGTTAAAACACTGTTAAGCAAATTATTGAGTATGCTTTATCAAAATAATTTTCTACATTTACATATTTATTTTAGTGTTTAATTATCAGCATTTGATTCACACTGGTTTTCAGTATTCAGTGTTATGTTACAGCAGTATTGTGGTTTATTACTGAACTAATAAGAGTTTAATAATCACTAATCCTGCAGGATGTGTTCCATATTCTAAAGTGCAGTTTTAGTCATTGATCTTTTGAAACACATACTGACATATTAGTGAAGCACCTTCTTGGCAACCAAAATGCTAAATAAATAGGCTTTAAATTTGTGATTAAACTGGTAAATTTACAAATTGGCTTACTGAACACTTCTTTATATCTAATTAGTGATAACTAAAGTATTAGTTACTAATACTAACCAAAGTTTTGGTGACTTGTTAAACTTATATTAACCCTACAGAAATCAGTTGATTCCACCTAGAACATATAAGAACTAAATGCCCATTTTACATTTATAAGATGTGAATTTATCTGATAATTCATACTCAGTAATTTGACAAATGTTTATTGAGCATTATTAATAATGATTTGTATTAGTGATTTTCTAATAACATATGACCAATTATGTACTAATGCAGTTTATAGTCAAGAAACCTTCACTCACAGTGGAAACATCATTTATAAGTGCTGAATTTGTGCTTTACTGACCAAAGAATAAAACATTAATTAATTCCCAAAATGTGTTCCTTAAAATAAAGTGTTACAGTCATAATATACGATAACAAATTAGCTTAATTCATATATAATTATAACATATATATAATAAAATCTAGGCTGTGTCCAAGACCACATTAAATTCCATGGCTAAGATCGGATCAGACTTACCTATCTGAGTAAACAGTCCTCAGTCCTCAGGTTGGTGAGTTAATCAGACCCACAGTCTAATAATGTGTTTTTCACTCAAACTCAGACAACTGCGCTCCGAGCCCCTCGTCCTGCGGCGCATTCGCTCAGTTCAGAGGAAACATGAGGAGATTTGGAGAAGGAGCAGTTCAGAAGAGCTACAGCTGGACTGTTACAGCGTCCACCACGCTAACTTGGACGTCTGAGGTCAGAACTCTGAGAGCGTTTACCTGGTCAGTGTAGAGGAACATCTCTGCACTGTCATCTCTGAACAGAGATGCTTCAGACAGCAGAGAGCCCTCAGGAACCCCCCATCTGAGGAGCCCCCCATCTGAGAACCAGGAATCTCTCTGTACTTTTAAACAGATTAATGGCACCAAAGGGTCAATGAGGAGTCATTATGAGGGTCTCACCTGGAGGGGGGATATGTGTCTTATGGGGGGGGGAGGGTATTGTAGCTTAAATTCTAGGAAATTGGCTGTGTCAAATAAATAAATAAATAAATAAATACATAACAGCAGGGCAGAGCGGCGCACAGCTTACTTTACTTCTTGCTAAAGGAGTGAAAAAGTGAATAAATATAATATTGTAATACAGCCTGTTAATCTCTGCTTTTAGCCTTCATATTATAAACAAAAGGTTAAACATAGCGACGCAGTTCACACATCAGATCACTCAGAGGAACCTGAACCTGCCATCACTAGCCAGAGTGAGAGAAACCAGCTCTAACATCCCACAAGGGGTAATAAAGGGGTTAAAAACAGCGACACAGTTCACACATCAGAGCACTCACGATAGTAAACATGCAGATCAATCTGAGATTAAAAATAAAGCCAGTCTTGCTGAGTTTCAGAGTTTCAGCACTCAGCATTAAATCCAAGAGGACAGATAATCAATAAAAAACATGGCCACCTTATGCTAATCATTTATTTTTACTCAGTAATAACAGTTAAATCATCTATAATTTTAATATAATCTTATTATATTCATAATTATACTAATTTCAGCTCACAGACACTCCAGACTAACAATTTCTTACAAGGTATCTGAGGTGACACTTGTTTTTAAGACGTGCATTTTTTGTCAAAAATTAGCCAAATTCATAAAGATATCAAAATTCAGTTGACAATAATAATAAAATAATAATAATAATAATAATAATAATACATTTTATTTATATAACACTTTAGAGCTTTAAAAACCAGCAGCAGAGCTTTAAACTCTCTCTAACAGACCCAGGCGGTCAGTGCAGTGTGTAACGGGGTGATATGAGCTCTCTGTGTTGGTGCTGTGAGGATCCGTGCTGCTGCGTTCTGTACGGGTTCTAGAGGATGGACTGTTTTCTCCAATAAGAAGATCATTACAGTGATCAACTCTGCTGAACAAACACAGCTACAGGTTTCTCTGCGTCGCTCTGAGAGAGAAACGACTGGACTTTAGTGATTTTAACATGATAAAAAGCTGCTTTAGTGACTGTTTACATGCAGATTAAACAGAGCCCAGAGTCTCAGATCACACCCAGGCTTCCACTGCAGGTTTGGGATATGTTAGTATGCACATGTCAGATGATGAATAACTGAGCAGCCCAGGGTCTCCTGAAAATAACAACATACTGCATGTGTGACTGTCTCATATAAATGCTTTATTACTGTAATTGTTTAAAAAATGTAAAAATAAGCTCGACTTCATATGCGTGTCTAGTGCAGCTGGTGGGGGTTGCAACTCCGATCTGCTCTGTTAGAAGGACGACTTAAAAACTGCTTCAGAAAAGAAAGAAATACAGCTGTAAGAAAACGAGGCTAAACGTTCTGCAGTGCATTATGGTCAATATGCAAAACATTACAGTGGTTTTACTTCAAAAACACTAAAATTTTAGAACATTTCCAGTTTAATTAGTGTAACACGCTCAGTACTGAGTCCATGCTGAGATTCTGCTCTCTTGTGAAATGCTGTTAATGTGTGAGGAGGTTGTTTGAAGCCTATTGCTGTGCAGGACGCTGGACTGAAGCAGCCAGAAAGCAGAGAGCTGAGTCCGGCTGGCACGCTGGACACAGCTGTATCCTCAGCCATGTAAACCGCAGTGGAGCGGCGTGTGCACCGCAGGCGTTTACGAAGTGAGGGAACGTCACCTGAGCCGGCCGAGTGCTAGAACCAAAAAGAGAACTGCAGAAACACTTATGTGGAACAAATGAAACACGGCTGAAAGTAACATCAAATAAAAACGCACAACAGAAATGAGTGAGTGTGGAACAAACCAGGGGACTGAACTTTATTAGATAATTCATATCTGGAGTGAAGTTCAACCTGGAGACATACAGGAGCAGCACATATATACTCTACGATCTATTATCTATAAAGACTGTATAGTGTAGCACTGGAACTGGTCTGGTTTCATCAAAAGGACCACTCAACCAAATTAGTTCAAACCGCACAGCTACAGTTAAAACTATTAAAATACAGTGAAGTATTCAGATCTTAGATATTTACAGGGATTCTGTTCTGATCTATTTAAACCCAAAGCATTAACCCTCTGTGGTCTGAGGGCATTTTCTCCAATTTGTGTGTCTTCTTAAATTCTACTTTAAAGTCTCTCTCTCTCTCTCCCTCTCTCTCTCTCTCTCTCTCTCTCTCTCTCTGTCTCTCTCTCTCCCTCTCTCTCTCTCTCTCTCTCCCTCTCTCTCTCTCTCTGTCTCTCTGTCTCTCTCACCTCTCTGAGACGGAAGAACCAAACAGCAACTGGCAATCCATGTATCAATACCTACAACGCTCTCTTCTGTCACATTAAAGGATCATTTGATCATATTTAAAATGAAGATACTGGAACACAAATTCATTTCTAAAGGTATCAGACAGTGAAGAGCATCAGACAGGATTCTGGATATTTTTGTACAGATTTGATAAACACATTTACATACATTTATTTTTGTCTGCGTGTAATATTTCCCCATACATTTCAAAATAAATGTAAAGTATATTTGGTTAATATGGCAAAATATTCTGAAATATATTTCAGTGTTTGGAATGTATTTCAGCATCGACTGCAGTGAGTTTGAAATGTATTAACATGTATGTCCATGTATTTTTTCAATATGGGTACATTTATAAAAAAGATGGTTGGGGTGATGCAGGCCGTGTCCGGAGCAAGACCACTGGAACTAAATGGGGCACATTTCAAAAATACTGTCAGATTAAAAATGTTTCTCCCACTCTTTGTTGTATTTGTCCAGGCAATGTTGATGAACTACACTGTAAAAATAGCAGTAATTTTTTTAGGTTAATCTGATGAGGCTTTTTTTACAGTGCAGCTAAAGAAACTCTACTGTTGTCGGACGATCAATGGGGCAATTCTGATTTGTCTTGATTTGTGTGGGGAAGCTGAGGAGGGAATGGGGTCATGGACGGATCGTGTAACAGAACAAACTAGCAGTCTGTCTTTTGTAGACAGGTACAGTGAACAGAGACAGGCCTAAAACAACCTGCAAATATTTGTAAGTGACTTTACAGAAATTTAAACTCAAAGTCACTTATAATGGGCGGACTTGGCAAATGTGCAATTTACGTGACATCACATCACTCATTATTTCTAGATACTAAGTTATTGTTTTGAGATATTAAGTTATTATTTTGAGATACCAAGTCATCAGATATTAAGATACTAAGAAGCTAAATATAAATGTAAACTTATACATAATTATAAATATACATAAATATAAGTAATTCAAGACACTTTCTTATTATTTACATTTTTATATATTTAGATTTATTCATATTTAAAAAAAAAATCTCTTAAAATGATGAGAGAGTTTTTTCAAAATAATAAAAATGTTTCCCAATAAAGAGAATGCTTTACAAAATAATGAATTAGTGTCTCAAAATAACAAGAAAGCATCTCAACACAATGACTTGGCATCTCAAAATAATGAAATATTAAGTCATCTCCAAATTATGACTTTGCATGTCAAAATAAAGGCGTCTCGGCTTTATATGATGATAATAAATGGCTAATAAATGATGGCAGTTCACTAAATAATGAAAATAAAAATAAAAAGTGCTGGATGTGTTTTATTTTGAGTGGCGGGAATGGGCTTCCATACTATCTTCATGTTTATTCAAATCGAAAAAATGCTAACACTATACACTACAACTACCATGATGCAGTGCGGCGGATGAACCACGCGCGCCCCAGCCCAGCGCTCAGTGAGCCATATTACGGCGGAAGGTGGACGGCGGCAGAAAAGCGAGTAGAACAGTTATAATTTCCTCTTCATATCGCGAATAAACCGCTCTGAAATCATGTCGGGAGACGAGGTACGTAAACAGACGCCTGTTATTCGTTTAAATTTCCGCAGATGATTTTCATTTAGTCTAAAAATGTGGTGCGGCCTAGTTGGAATCTCACGTGCAGCAGCAGTAACGTTACCGCACGGACGAATTTCCCGTTCCACCTTAAATGGAGCCGCAGTTACGTTATAGAGCCTGAGGCGCCATAATGTAACTGCTGTACCATTTAAGGTGGAACGGGAAATTTGTCCGAACCTCAGCTCGCTAAGCTAATTATGGACCAGCTTTCCTCTTCTGCTTCTAAATTAAGTGTTTATTGATTAGAAATAATCAGATTTTCCCCACAGCGATGCAGTTTTACACCCTTTTCTTCACAAACATTGCGTTTTCTATTCGGCTAGCTAACGCAAAGCTAACATTAGTTTAGCCAATGACTTGCACATAGTCTTCTCTTTGTGTGATTATTGTTTTAAAAGCATTTTATATATTTAAATGTGATTTTGTTTTCGTTCTCAGTCGATGCTGAAAGGTAATTGGCCAGCTAGCTAACGATTCTTGGCTTCGGTTAAGCTAACGGTGGCTAGGCCAGTAGCTAGCTAGTGAAAAGATCTACATTTCGCCAAAATCCACACGGTTTGGACTTTTAGATTAACAGCATAAACTAACCCAGACATGAGAAGCGTTAATATAGCGCTGTTATTGATTAAACATTACCTTGCGATGATAGTTTTCCTTGTACCTTCATCTTAAAGACAAAAAATATCTGAAAATACCACAAAACAATTTCTTAATAAATAATGTGCACCACAATATTTAAAATTTCTAACGTTTGATGAGTTGGAACACAAAAATCCCCCAGTAGTGCCACATTTAAACAATACTATTAAAACTGTTAATACGGCAACTCACATCCAGCACTTAATCACATTAAACAGGACTAATTGTGCTGTCTTCGTAATAAAACATGCAGTTTTTAAAGGGGAATTCCACTGAATTCCCCCATAAGTGGGTGTGTTAGTTGTAAACAGTGGTGGTGATAGGAACCAGGAGTCACCATGTCTTCTTAGTTTATATGGAATGTTGATGATGGAAAATCTGAAATACGTTTTCTTTGGGGACTATTTTGCCTCACAGCGCCCTGCATGTATCCCTCCACCATGAATGGAGTTTAAGTTCTCTAAACTATCATAAAACAGTGTCTCAGTCATCAGGCAGTGAATTCATAACCATTTCATGTAGGAACTTTCTGTGAGGGAGCTTTTAGAGGTGGACGTCTGGTTCCTATCACCACCACTGTGAACAGTTCTGACTCAGTAAGTTTATCTAGAACAGAGCGTTTCACACCAAACCACTCTGAATGATTTGACCACTTAATTATGTAGAATTTTGAAATAATAGGTGGAGTTTCCCTTAAAGGCTGGGCAATTTTGCAAAAAATCTTTAACACTTCAGGACAATTTCCCAATAAGTATGCAACACAGTATTCAGCTAGTTTTGTGAAGTTTGATAAATTACAACACAAAACCCCCAGTAGTTCAACATTTAAATAACATTATTAAGACTGCGAATGCGTTTATTGACGTAAAGCATTTAATCTTATTAAACCACATCTTTGTAATACATTTTTTTGAAGTTTTTTTTTAAGTACTGTAGCAAAAATAATTGTCATATTGCCCATCCCTACTTAGTCTTCCTTCAAAAACTTAAAAAAAAAAAATTGTTTTCTGTAAGTGCTTCTCACTCTGGAACGTTGACTTGCTGTTGCGCAGATGATCTTCGATCCCACCATGACCAAGAAGAAGAAGAAGAAGAAGAAGCCCTTCATGCTGGAGGAGGAAGGAGGAGAGGCGGATGATGGAGTGCAGGTCGAGACAAAGGAGCCTGAAGTGGACGGAGCAGAAGAGAAAGAATTGGATGTGGATGAAGATGAGGGAAGAAGGAAAGGTAAGAACATGTTCAGTACATTTAAACTGACACGCTTCCAGGATTTAGAAACTATGACGATTGTGGGCAGCTTATGGAACAAGTGGGCACTGAGTTCTCTAGTGCAACTATTAGTTTATTGTTCTTTTTGTTTCTTTAGCTTATATATTTTTGTTTTTATCATATCTCCATAATTTGGTCTTCTTTCATTAACATTTATCCCATATTTGCCTCAGTGACTTAACCATTAGGCTAAACAGCCAGTTGTTGTGTTTAAAGTGTGTGAGGCTGCAATGGCTGCTGTCAAAGCACATGTGTATTTAAAACTAAACAAAAATGAACAAAAATATGTATTCATTCTTATGGCCTGTATAACAATAAATATGTATTTATTTGTTTGTTTAGCCTTTAGAAAAAGTTGTTGAGGTAGTGCTGATTGTTTCTCTTTCAGTGCAGAAAAAATGTGCTTGCAGTTCTATTCTAAGCAGCTTAATATTATTTCTTATTTTGCTTAATAGCAATAGTGCTTTTGTAATTTTGTTTTGCTGTTTGCTTAAACTAGAAGTTAGTTTTCTGTTTAATCACATCCAGTAGAGGTGCACTATTTTAATAAGAATTTATCACTTCTCATATTGGCATCATGATATCCACCAGCTTTATCGAACATACCATTTTATACCAATATCGTACAGCCTAGAGATGGACCTATCAGTGTTTCTGGGGCTGATGCCGATCAAGGGCGGGGCTGGCATCTTCAGAAGCTCCGCCCCCAAAAGTCATGGGCATGCATTGCCAAAGCAAACAAAAAAAATTTTAGTAAATGTACTGAAAAGACTAAAAGGACTGACACACTGTCGCCTATGAAGTTCTGTGTTTATTTTTCTTTTCAGTCCTGCCAAAACCAAAAGTAGCTAGAGCAGTGTGAGCTAAGCTGAGATTGACAACAGAGCGTATTAATTACAGCTCTGCACTTTCACAGCCAGTTTACAGCGAAACAGGAGCCACATATGAAATAATATACTTCAGGGAAAATGTTTATCGTTTGTGAAATAGATATGATGAGGCTGAAGCTTCCTTCTCGTCAGCTTCCTGTTCAGATTTTCCTGTTCCACCTTAAATGGTGCAGCAGTTACATTCTGGTGCCTCAGATGAAATATGGCCCATATGTTTTATGTCACTGATCAGCTCTCAGGATCCACCAAGTTAGAGATATCGGCCGATCGCATATTTGGGCCGATACTGATACATACCTGATCGATCCTTCCATCTCTATCTTCTAACCAATCGTCTTGCTCGTCTCAGATGCCCTTGCGTTAAAGACAGCAGCCACATGTTAAATTGGGTCCCTTATGGCTCAGTTTGATGGCAGAGGAGCTTGTGTGCGTGTGTGTGTGTGTGCGTGTGTGTGTGTGTGCGTGCGTGAGTGTGTGTGCGTGTGTGTGTGAGTGTGTGTGAGTGTGTGTGTGAGTGTGTGAGAGTGTGAGAGTGTGAGAGTGTGAGTGTGTGAGTGTGTGAGTGTGTGAGTGTGAGTGAGTGTGAGTGTGTGTGTGTGTGTGTGAGTGTGTGTGTGTGAGTGTGTGTGTGCGTGTGTGTGCGTGTGTGTGCGTGTGTGTGCGTGTGTGTGCGTGTGTGTGCGTGTGTGAGTGTGTGTGTGTGAGTGTGTGTGCGTGTGTGTGTGTGTGTGTGTGTGTGTGTGAGCGAATGCTGGACTCGTTCTCACATATATCTATTCCGTTACTCTGTGAAACCGCAGATGATTTGGTGCAGACAGACTGTTCACCAGAAATTAGTAAATAGCAGCAGGAATAGCGGATCTGCCTGTTGTGTTATGTAGTGCAGGCCTGGAAACGATGTGGAACATCAGGTTTGAATATTGTGTTCGCTTATTCTCTCCTTATATAACAGGAAAATACTGTGGTAAATATTTCACATATCAGTCGACCCTAATCATGAGCTGCGCTTGTTATTCTTAACTCGCTTAGTATATTTTGCCGATGTCTGCGACCTTCAGGAACGACAGAGTCCTAATTTCTTACTTTAACTTCAAATTTTCTTCACATGGTCGTGAAGAGCCGTCAGACGACCTGGATGACCTGAACTTCTTCAACCAGAAGAAGAAAAAGAAGAAATCCAAAAAGGAAAAGATCTTTGACAACGAGCTGGATGAAGGGATGAAGGTCAGTAGTTCTCAGTTTTCATTTAGGTTTGTTTTGTCTGTGGCAGAGGTTCTCTGTTTGGTCTTCAGGGTTCTTTTCTAGACGGTTCCACCCAGCTCACAACACATTTGGCTGTGGACTGTCTGATAGACTTGTAGCTCTTTTAATTGCAGAGTTTGCTGAGGGGAACAGCTGATAGCTAGCCAGACGTATCATGGATAGAGGTGGACCTTTTCCTACACACTCAAATATGGTTCTTTAGTAAAGAAAATGGTTCTGGATAGAACCATGAACCCTTCATGAAATTAAATGGTTTTTACCCCAGCTCTAGTTTAGTTTAGTTTATTCTCACTAATTCTGATGTTTATTTTCACTAATGTCAGATGTTTTGGGGGAAATAGAGTCCAAATGCTTTTAAGAAGTGCAAAGGTGCCCCATTTTTCCTGCTATAGAGAGAGAATGAAAAAGTTTCCTTATTTTATGTTAAGCTTAATACGTTCCCTGCTAATAAATGCAGTTGTGTTTTGGAGCTCCGCCGAGCTTCAGCGTGATTTAGCTGCAATGAAAAGTGTGCTATCACCTGAGTATCACCTCGGAGCAGCTAGCCCGACTCAGAGTTTTTAGAGTAAAACGTTCCCTCATCCTCGTCCACAGGCAGGAAACAGGACTGGAGAATGAGCTAATGTGGATACCCAACTACACCCTGCTTCAGCTTTCAGTTTTTCAGGTTTTCCAGCTTTCAGAAGCTGATAGAGCTGCTAAAAGTGATCTAAAACCCAGCAAACGCATCCTTGGCTTGGTGCTAATGTAACAGCTGTTGGCATTATCCTATCAGATAAAATGAAGGCTGCTCATAAAACCGATTCTCATTAAACACTGCAGTAAAATGAGCAGCTGCTGCTCAAGATTAAATGACAAAATTAACCCCAAGCAGTTCACTTAAGGGTGACGTTGTCAGAGTTTAAAATAGCAGACTTTAAAAGAGCTTTCATAGCTCACAGGTTTATCAGCGTCAGTGGTGACGACATTAGGAGCAGATAGTTTGTCAGTGTTTAGTAAGGAATATGAATGAATGAATGAATGAATGAACGTTTAGCCAACTGTGTTTGAACACATTAGACCATTCCACCATTCCATATGTGGAGGTTCTCAGTGTTCATCAGTTTCAAAAGGGAAAAGGTATTTCCCTTTTCTCCAGTACTTAGTTAAATATCTCTCACATCAGTATCAGGATTGGTACGAAATCCTGTTGTATCAGTGTAGCACTGTTAGCGATGTCCACCTGGAGGTAAGTTCTTTGTTGTGATGTAGCACTGATTTGTCCTGTTTACGATTCATCGCTGCGGTTTTAAGTGTTAATGTCTTGCTCTCTGAGTCTTTGTTTCACAGCCTGTTTTGTTGCTTATCCTCCAAAGGAGCTGAAGATTGAGGCGGAACCGTCTGAGACACTAGATGACGATGATTTAATGCTGCCTGCTAAGAAGAAGAAGTCCAAAAAGATTAAGGATTTCCAGGATGATGCAGATGTTCCGAGCAGAGATGACGGTAGGTAGTGGAGACGCACAGCAGCAGCAATAAATATAAGGTTATGGGTTGATATTAATGTGAAGCGGCGCCGCTCTTCAGGTCTGGAGGATGACGACAGTAAGAACCTGGACGACATCACGTTCAGCACACAGACGGGTCCTGCCTGGGCCGGCTCGGAGAGAGACTACACATACGACGAGGTAAACACTTCTGTGATTGTGCGAGCCGGTGCTGACCATCACTAATGTTAAAGGGGCATTGCACCAATTTTCCAGAGTTCCCCCGTAATTCAGTGAGTGAGGTGTAAACAGAGATTCAGAGTGGTTTGGTGTGAAATGGTTCAGATGTCTTTACAGTGGTGGTGATGGGAACCAGGGGTCGCCATGACTACAACACAAATATAGACATTTTATTTACTATCCAGAACCACCAGTGAACCTACACGAGTCTTCTGAGTTTATATGGAATGTTGATGATGGAAAATAGTGGAAAATCTGAAATAATAAGTTTTCTTTGGGGACTATTTTGCCTCACAGCGCCCTGCATGTATCCCTCCACCATGAATGGAGTTTAAGTTCTCTAAACTATCATAAAACAGTGTCTCAGTCATCAGGCAGTGAATTCATAACCATTTCATGTAGGAACTTTCTGTGAGGGAGCTTTTAGAGGGTGGACGTCTGGTTCCTGTCACCACCACTGTGAACAGTTCTGACTCGGTCACTTTCTCCAGAACAGAGCGTTTCACACCAAACCACTCTGAACCGCTCTGTTTACATCTTAACCATGTAATTATGCAAAATATTTGCTTTTATCTTGGTCTTGTAAACCCATATCATCTTGCGTGACTGATCTAGTTGTCTTGCTGCTCCCTTTGATGTGAGTTTTGATGATCGTTTGTTCTCTGATGAAGTGAATGTTTCCCCTGATTAGCCCTGATTGAATATTAAGGAATATTTGAGGGCATGAAAGTCTGTCTGTAGTGTTTGTCTGTTCAGTGTGATGGTCTGAAGCCCTTTCTGTTCCACAGCTTCTGAGCAGAGTCTTCAACATCATGCGGGAAAAGAATCCAGACATGGTTGCTGGTGAGAAAAGGAAGTTTGTGATGAAGCCCCCTCAGGTCGTGAGAGTCGGCACTAAAAAGACCTCGTTTGTTAATTTCACAGACATCTGCAAATTGTAAGTAAACCTATGAACACCACACCACAGTGCAAATCGATTTTGATTTGTTTTTATGTAGACTGTTGGAAATATTTTTCCTAGGGATGCACTAATGTGGGAAATATGGGCATTTATAACATTTCATAACATTTATTTCTACTCATTTTACAAATAAAAAACAGATTTTTCAGTGCAGTAACTCAGCGTCACTGAACATTCAGCTCTTCTGGAGCTTAATAAACACATTATGGGAAATATCAGCCAAATATGATCTGATATTTCTTTTAGAGCAAATATCTGCTGCTATGACTCATTATGCATCACCATGAAACACAAAATGGTCACTAATGAAAGGTTTGTTAGGTTTGCTTTTCTTTTTATAATTAACCTCAACATTTTAAAATGCAACGTAGCTGATTTGACCTATTGACCTATTCGTGCTCCACCATCCAACACATTGCATTTCGGTTGTGTTTATTTTTGTGTTTTTTTTTTGTGTGGGTAATTTTTAAACATTTTTTTGGTGGAAAAAAGTGATAATCTTCACTTTTTTTCCAGTCTGCCTGGGTTCTATTGACACATCTTTTAAAATCCTGATGGATTCTGAAAACGGACGTTAAAGGCGTGATGCTCGCCGTCTTTAACAGAATTCATTTTGTGCTCAGACCAGACATTAAGGCAAAAAAGAGGCACACATAGCGAACTTCAGCCACAAAAACGCTCAGACTCCCAGATCTACGTTGTTATAATAAGATACAAGCAAAGCTAAACTGGACCGGACCTGTTCAGGCCTTTATGCACAGACGGGAAGTGAATGAGGCTGAAATGCAGAGCTGGAGGAATATTTTTCCTACCTACTGCCTGCAGAGGTGAAACTGTACAGAGAGAGATTTTTCACTCTGAGCTTATCAGGCAGCTCAGAGCGCTCGTCTCTCTACACCTTCTCTCTTCTGAGCTAACGCTAAATCTGCCCAGAGACCATAGAATATCAGCCCCAGTGCCTCCATTTGCAGATTTGACCCACTGTGAAGGCCTCAGTGAGTTTCCTAAAGGCAGTGAACAAAATGCTGAAAGAACCGGAAGTGTTAGTGTGGCTGGTTTGTGGCCACAGCAGACCCTTGTATTTGGCGATGACTGTTAATAGTGTGGAAAACTGAATAAAAAGCTTCCTACATCACTGAATACGCAGCAGCCTTTATTAAACTTTAACACACTCAGGAAGCTCAGCATGCAGTCGTTTATCAGTGGTCCTCTGGCTGCAAGGAGAACCCACATGTTCTCAAGGCTGCTGGATTAAACAGCTGGCTGCATAAAAGCTGCAGGTCAAACTGAGCTTTGACAACTAGAACTTTTTTTTTGGGAAGAGTTTTTTATTTTATTTTTTTTTATTTTTTTTTGGCGAGATGAGCTGCGCGATATGGACATAAAATGCAACGTTAAGTAAAGCTGTCGGATATTGCGTTGATATGAGAAACAATAAATTACTGTTTAAAATAATGTGTCGCAGCCTGGGTGTAACAGGTGCAGACAGGCTAAATACAAAATTACAAAAGCACCATTCATTATTCTGAATAGCAGCTACTGCAAGCACATTTTGTGCACTGAAGGGCTGAGAACAGTCAGCATTACCGCATCAGCTTTTTCTATAAAGACTACAAAATCAAATAAATATTTATTAATATTTTACATAGACACACAAGAACAAATACATATTCTTTTTCCTTTTTTAAAATTATTATTATTATTATTATTATTATTATTATTATTATTGTGGCATCAGACATACTGGGTTTTATTGGGTTTAAAAATAAACTTTAATGTCCGTAGTTAAGTGTAGTTTACTGTTTTGTAGTTTACAGTTTCCATTAAATTGAAGTAATGGAGAAACGGTTAAATTACTAGCAGAATTCCCAGCGCAGAGAAGCTGTCATTAGATTTGTGACGGTTTTTACTGGTAATGTAATGAAGTCTCTCTGGCGCTGTGTGTTTTAGGTCATTAGATCTGTTCTGCCTTCACAGCTTTAACGATGTGTTAATCACAGAAACTCCAAACATGCTAACGATAAAAACCTAAAGCCCTGGATTCACTACACGACTTTTAAAGTCTTAACAGATTATGACAGACTGGGCGTCTCTCACTGTCTGACTGGTTTCTGCTCATTTTTTGGGTGACTGAATTATTGGGGATCCACACTAAACGACTTGCCAACTGTTGCTGAACCAAACGGACCTCAGTGAACTCGGTGAACTCTCTAAATTTGGGCGAACTCTCGCGTTTTCCTGTTACTAGGAGACGCAAATAAACAAACGTGGAGCTGCTGCTGCTGTTTTCTCTGCTGTTTGCACTGAAACAGTAAAGAAGCAGCAGGTAAACATGTTTAACTGAGGATCACTGATTAAAGATGTGATCAGCTGGTATTTTTAGAGTTTTAAATGTACAAAAACTCAATTGTTCCTTAAACTCAGCTCATTAAAAAGCTTCGCTCCACACATGAGAGACTTTTCACTGTTTTTCTTTTACCAGTTTACACTAGATTTCACTCTGAGTCGGGTCGAAACGATCAAACGTTTGATAAACTAGGACTGGTCTGAAACGCCATAGGGAGGCAGTAAATCTGAGTCTGCGCTGCCACACACGACTCGACTCTCTCTGACTGTCGACTCAGACTGACCCAAAAATCTGCAGACTAGAGCCGACCAGCTCAGACTGAGAATCAGGGCTCAATCGGGGTAAAAGTTGTGTAGTGGAACCCCAGCTTAAGGATCTGTCATCACTCCAGAGCTTCAACACCCCCCCCTAAACTGAACACCCTCACAGATCTGCGCTGATTGGAGGACCATGATGATGATCAGCTGTATTGTTGACTGATCTGTTTAAAATGCAGTGTGTTTAATAGAGCTGTTTACATTCTGAGATGGGAGGGAAGTTTGTTTTATTTTTTTATTTATTACAACCTTCATACTTTTTTCCTGGTACTCTTTATGTATCAAAAACTGCTGTTTTATTAATATTAATCTCCTGCTCTTTAGGTTGCATCGACAGCCCAAACATCTCTTGGCGTTCTTGCTGGCTGAGTTGGGTACCAGGTGAGATTAAACCTGCTTTAAGATCACAGCATCGTTCAGCATTATAATCATTATTAATATTCCTCTCAACGTTAAAACATGAACATTCTCTCTTTTCAGTGGTTCCATAGATGGAAATAACCAGCTTGTTATCAAAGGAAGGTTCCAGCAGAAACAGATAGAGAACGTCTTACGAAGATATATAAGTGAGTGGTTTTAAACTGTGTTTTGCTCAGGTGGTTTCAGTGTGTGAGCACACAGCTGCACTCGTACACCAAAATCTAAAGTTCACCGCCAGCGGATAATCAGTGCTCGTCACAGATGTTTTTATTATTTATTTATTTAGTATTTTATTTCTTTTTTTACATAATTTAATTTACATATCAGCCTTAAAGCCACAGTAACAAAAGCGGCCTATTTAATTTTGAGGGATAAAGAGTTTTTAAATGGTTGTGTAAAAACTGAATTATGACTTTTTGGTCATGTAACACTGCAGTGTTTAAGACTGTGAGATGCTCATAGTGTTCTCCGTTCTTCTCTCCTCCAGAGGAGTATGTGACGTGCCACACGTGTCGTTCTCCTGAGACCATCCTGCAGAAGGACACACGTCTTTACTTCCTGCAGTGCGAGACGTGTCATTCCCGCTGCTCTGTCGCCAGCATCAAAACAGGCTTCCAGGCCGTCACCGGCAAAAGAGCGCAGCTGCGTGCCAAAGCCAACTAACACCCACCCAGACCGCTCCGTACGGCGCTCCACGGCCAGACTCCACAAACCTACGCCTTTACTGCTCCTGCTCAGAGTCTGCGTTTCATTCAGGAAGTGTTCTAGAGCCGTGAGGCTGTTCTTTTCTTCTTCATAGAAAGCTCAAGCTCCACCTGCTGCAGCTCCAGCTACCTTTAGCGTGAGGATTTGCGTGCTTAGAGTTGTGGAGTCTGGCCTTGAAGCTCTGGATTTACTGCTCTGTGAGATGTGGCGCAGGATCCCACGGCCTGGACATTTTTATGAACTGTTGGTGAATTTGTTACTGCTGCCTTGCCTACACAGGAAAAATTAAAATCAATAAAATGCATACCAGATGGCTGAACACGTGCTGCGTAGGTTCTCTAATGGAAATTAACACTGAAACCTTTCTCAGTCCGTTAGCGGAGTCACTCAGAACCACCTTTTACATCGATTTGTTGTTTTTAATAACCACTGATGATGGTTATAAAAATGTCAGACTGATAAAGCTCTACAAATCTAATCGTGAAAGACAGACTCCTTATATCAGTAATTTTAATTAACTTCTATAGTTGTGACACAAGCAAAAGTGTCATTGTAGTAAAATATTCTAATCTATTAAAGTGAATCTGCATACAGACCGTAGTACAGTAATTGATAACCTGATAGTGCTGTTTGCTACAAAGCTGTGTTCTGTATAATCAGAGTTCATATTTTTGGTCACTTTACTGAAGGGCAGCGTTCATAAACATACACAACACATGAATAAAGCTACATAGACATATATAAAGGCTTCAGTTGCCATAACACTGAAGTGAAATGACATTAAATTGATCAAAAGCAGCCTTTATGTCAGCTGACACTAGGAATAAGTCCTTGTGTTAGTTTTTGTGATTTTGTACATGTTGTAGCTTTTATGGTTACACCAGCTGTAAAAATGGGATAAAATCTGTTAAAAGTTGTTAAATTGATGAATAAATCCAGGCCTGTACACTGTGCTGTACTCACCGATAATTTTACTCCGTGTCTAAACAAAATAAAGTCATGATCATTCAAGTCCATTAAAATAAGCGTATAGGAGTAAACGTGTTGCTCTGATTGGTCCCGGTCTGCTGATACGAGCCCACAGATCTGAGTACACTTGAACTCTTTGCACGATTAAATAGTTCTTTGCATGGTGAAGAGGCTCTTTAGGTTGATGGAGAATGTGCTGTGTGGTTCTGTATAGCACCAAAAAAGGGTTCTTGTGTTGTTATGAGGTCAAACTTGTTACAATAGAATCTATTTTCAAAAAGGCTCTATATAGAACTGTATACAACACATCCATCAATCTGAACAACCATTTAAGCATGCAAAGGGTTCTTTGAGTGTTTGATTCTATAGATCCATTTTTCTTACTGAAGAACCATTTTTAAGAGTATTTAAAAAATATTTGAGAATTCTATTTTTATGTAAGTAACTTGCACATCTCGTTTTTGAATATATAAACTCTTAAAGATGGTTCTTCAAGGGTTCCTCAGTAAAGAAACTAGTTCTATATGGAAGCATGAGCACTCAAACCCTTTGCATAATTAATGGGTTCTTTGGATCATGAAAGGGTTCTTCAGATTGATGGAGAATGTGCTGCATATGGTTCTATATAAAACCTCTTTGAAAAGGGTTCTGTTATGATGTCAAGCTTGTAACATAGCAGAACCTTTTTTGGTGCTTTATAGAGCCATATAGAGCACATTCTCCAATCTGAAGAACGCTTTTGTGATGCAAATACATGCTTGACAAAATGACAACATATCAAATGTTGAAACTGAGAAATTTTATTGTTTTTTGAAAATTATTTGCCCATTTTGAATTTGATGCCAACAACATCAAAAAAGTTGGGACGGGGGAACAAAAGGCTGGTAAAGTTGTGTAATGCTAAAAAAAACACCTGGTGGTTGATTGACAACAGGCCAGTAACATGATTGGGTATAAAAGAGCATCTCAGAGAGGCGGAGTCTTTCAGAAGTAAAGATGAGGAGGGGGTCACCACTCTGTGAAAGACTGCATGATCAAATGGTGCAACATTCAAGAATAACGATTCTCAACATAAAATAGCAAAGAACTTTTGCTTTTCATCATCTACGCTACATAATATCACTAAAAGATTCAGAGAATCTGGAGAAATCTCTGTGAGGGACAAGGCTAAAAACCAGACGGCACTGCATTAAAAACAGACATGATTCTGCAGTGGAAATCACTGCATGGGCTCAGAAACACTTCTGAAAACCACTGTCTGTGAAAACAGTTCGTCACTGCATCCACAAATGCAAATTAAAACAATAAAACGCAAAGAAGAAACCACAAATAAACAGGATCCAGAAACGCTGCCACCTTCTCTGGGCCTAAACTCCTTTAAAATGGACTGAGGGGAAGTGGAAAAGTGTCCTGTGATCCAATGAATCAACATTTGAAATTCTTTTTGGAAATCATGGACGCTGTGTCCTCCGGGTTAAAGACCACTCAGCTGGTTATCAGTGCACAGTTCAAAAGCCAGTATTCATGATGGTATAGGGGGGCATTAGTGCACATGGCATGGGTGACGTGCTCATCTGTGAAGGCGCCATTAATGCTGAATGATATATACATGTTTTAGCAACATATGCTGCCATCCAGACGACGTCTTTTTCAGGGAAGGCCTTGATTATTTCAGCAAGACAATGTAAATCCATATTCTGCATGTATTACAGCAGCATTGCTCCGTATTAAAAGAGTTCGGGTGCTAAACTGACCTGCCTGCAGTCCAGACCTGTCAACACTGACACCATTTGGCACATTATGAAACAAAAAATACAACAAATGAGCCCCTGAACTGATGAGCAGCTGAAATCCTGCATCAAACAAGAACAGAAAACATTTCACTTTCTAAACTACAGCAGTGTCTCCTCAGTTCACAAACGCTTACAGAGTGTTGATGAAGAAGAGGTGATGAAACAGTGGTAAACAGGCCCCCGTCCAACTTTTTGGAAATGGGGTTTTACTTTGGAATATATTTTTTCCATAGCTGTATTTCTTCCTCTTGCTCTGAGGGAGGTCTTTCTGCCTCTGTTGCTCTCAATGTTCTCAATCGCTCTAATGAAGCGCTCTAACAGATCAATCACACCAGGTTCATTATAATCCAACCAACCTGCCAAATACCCTAAATATTATAACTCACCACTCAAAAACACTGATGATGAAAAAGTTTAATTGTATTAAAACACTTTTTAGGAACATCTGATGTGATAATAACAGATAACATTGCTGTGAGAACAAGAAGATAACCAACAGAACCATGAACACTCAGAGAACTGTTTGCATGATTAAATGGTTGTTGTCATGGTGAATTGGTTCTTCAGATTGATGTGCTGTATATGGTTTTATATAGAACCCTTCTGAAAATGGTTCTATATAGCACCAAAATTGGTTCTTTTTGGCTTGACATCATAAGAACAGCAGAAAATGTTGGTGCTATATAGAACCATATACAACATATTCAGCATCAATTTGAAGAACGATTTCACCATGCAGAGAACCATTTAATCAGACAAAGGGTTCTTCTAGCGTTCATGACTCTATGTTGAACTGTCGTCTTTACTAAAGAACAACCATCTTTTTATTAGGGAGTACATTAAATACCCATGTTAAGTGTTACGGCGTGTTAAGTTTGTGCCCTGCTGTCCCTGCACTCTGAAACCGATGGCTCTTCAAGGGTTCCTTAGTGAAGAAAATGGTTCTATATGGAACTATGAACACTCAAAGAACCCTTGGCAAGCTTACATGGTTCTCTGCATGGTGAAAGGTGCTTCAGATTGATGGAGAATGTGTGGTGTATAGTTCTGTGTAGCACCAAAAAAAGGTTCTGCAATTGTTAAGATGTAAAGCTTGTATACAATAGCAGAACCTTTTTCATAAAGGGTTTCTCACAATCCAAAGAACCCTTTAAGCATGCATAGGCTTCTTTGAATGTTCATGGTTTTATATAGAACCATCTTCTGTACTAAAGAACCCTTGAGGAACCATCCTTTTAAGCTTGTACTCTACACAGCTGTAAATGGTGCAGTATTAAAGTTAAACTCTGGTTTGTTTCCAGAACGTGTTCTGCAGAAAGTCTTGTGTGGAAGTTCCAGAGAGCTACAGGAATAATAGCCATGTTCATTTCCTACCCTGTAGCGCTCTGGACAGTTTAGTGGCAAACAACTTCAGCTCCAATTAGCAGTGAGAGAGCGCAGACGCTAACGCAGACCCGCTAACACTCAGCTTTAATGTGTTCAAGCTGAGCAGAACACGCTGCTCTAGATCTGAGCTTCACAGCTCGGAACCGTAAGATCTCCAACAGCACTGATCCTCAAACTCACAGCTCAGACACACTGCAGTGAGACGGACCTTCTACACACTCTTAACACTCAGATCCGAGCTTCTGACCAAAACAGAGCAACACAGCAAACAGCTCACACAAGACTAAAAACACATCACAAACCCACACGGGAAAAATATGGACACATATATATATATACATATATATATGTGTGTGTGTGTGTGTGTGTGTGTGTGTGTGTGTGTGTATTTGAAATACATTTCAAACACTAAAATGTGTTTCAGAATATTTTGCCATATTGACCAAATATATTTTAAAATACATTTATACATTTGTATTTCGGTCATTCTACAGAAACGTCCACTGTTCTATCTCTCCATAGGAGTCACTGGTGTTACTGATCTTCATCTGTGTTACACATAATAAAGGAAACACCAGAGGTACAAAATACCTGCTACAGAGCATCAAACCACATGTTGTCCATCATGGAATATCCACTAAAATATGGAATTTAATCCATTTGTGTTTTACAACTACCTCACAGTAGGTCACACATGTGACTTCAGCTAAAAGCTTCATATGAAATCATGAGCTAAATTTTGTGCACAGTTTGTGTTGGTCATCCTCTGGTCCTTCATCAGTGGTCACAGGATGCTGCCCACAGGACGCTGTTGGCTGGACGTTTTTGGTTGGTGGACTATTCTCAGTCCAGCAGTGACACTGAGGGGTTTAAAAACTCCAGTAGCACTGCTGAGTCTGATCCACTCGTACCAGCACAACACACACTGACACACCACCACCACGTCAGTGTTACTGCAGTGCTGAGAATGATCCACCACCCAAACAGTACCTGCTCTGTGAGGGTCCATGGGGGTCCTGACCACTGAAGAACAGGGTAAAAGGGGGCTAACAAAGTATCAGAGAAACAGATGGACTACAGTCTGTAACTGTAGAGCTACAGAGTGAAACTATACGGTCAGTGGAGCTGATAAAGTGGACAGTGAGTGTAGAAACAGGCGGCTGCTCTGTGAGTGTATGTGTGATACAGGGTCACTGTAATTTAAATGCCTTCAGGAGCTGAACTTTAACAGAAATACGCTTTAATGAAAGGAAATAAACAGTGATGTATGTAACTGTGGATCCGTTTTCTCTGCAGGAGTGTTTGGTTTGTATTGCGGGTCTCTGGAGAGCTGAGCTCACTGACTCACTGCCTCTGAAATACAGCACTGCGCCGTGTGTTACTGTGGGGTGAAGCGTCCGCAGCTGGAGGAGGAACTGACCATCACTACCTGCTTCATTTAGGACTTTCACAAACTGTAGATCAAGAAACGGAGAGAAGTGAGGTTCTGTGAAGATCTGTGAGGCTCTGTGAGGTTCTACGAGGTTCTGTGAGGATCTGTGAGGCTCTGTAGGGATCTGAGAGGTTCTGTATGGATCTGTGAAGATCTATGAGGTTCTGTGATAATCTGTCAGGTTCTGTGAGGTTCTGTGAGGCTCTGTAAGGATCTGTGAGGTTCTGTAAGGATCTGTGAAGATCTATGAGGTTCTGTGAGGATCTGTGAGGTTCCACAAGGTTCTGTAAGGATCTGTGAGGTCCTGTGAGGCTCTGCGAGGTTCTGAGTTTTGTTTGTTGTGTATCTCGGCTCAGCCTTGACCTATT